CCTCTCCCTCCGTCTCTCTCTCTCTCTCTCTCTCTCTCTCTCTCTCTCTCTCTCTCTCTCTCTCAAACGAAGGAACGAACGAACGAACGGAGATTCGCTGTGTAATTTTCCAAAGAGAGAGAGAGAGGAAGGAAGAGAAGAGAAAGGAAAATGTCGATCGTATAGATTTTAAACGATTATCAGTTTCCAGTTGCGTAGCAAGGATGGAAGAATCGCGGTTACCTTAATCGGGGGATGGAAACTTTTCACGCGCGAAGGTTGGAATTATGCGGTTATTATAAATGATCCAGATGCATATTAAATCGGCGCCCTTGACCTCGTGAACACGTATTTTCGTGATTTATCCGAGTGTCCTTCGAGTGCATTCCTAAAATAACAGCCCAGAGAGAGAGAGAGAGAGAGAGAGCCGAGAGCCGATCCCAACAAGACTTGGCACACCGACGTTCGATAATTAAAAGCGAAATAATGGGAATGATTTTCGCATCTGAAATTTAAATCCCGTCATTATCGTATGCAAATTAATCGACATCGATTCGAACAAGTTCGACGGAAACGAGTCGAATCGAGTCGAGAAACGAGCAATCCAATTTCAGAATTTTTTAGAAAATTTAACATTCCTTCCTTCCTTCCTTTTTCCCCGAATCAATTCCCCTTCGTTGCGAATTAATCGCAAGAGTTATTATTATTTAACTGCTCGAGCATTTGTACTACTCCACGGAGGCTAATATTCGCCAATGCGAAAGGAAGGAGGAGGAGGAGGAGGGGGTGGTAAAAGGGGGTGGCAAATGGGGTCGGTCAGTCTTCGATATCCCGTTATACGCAGCAACCAACCTTCTCCCTACTCTTTCTCTCCCTCTGACGTCACAGGGTAGACAGAGGATCAACCCCGCATCCCCTCCCCCCTCCCTCCCCCTTTACCTTTCATTTCGGGTCAACCGAGGTCGAGCCGTGATACCGTGTTCGACTTACCCGCGCTCTTCCTCCTCTCGAGTACGAATACCACTTGTATCATCCGTGAGAGGGAAACTCTCGGATGAGAATCGAGGAGGAAGAAGAAAAAGTTTTTGGATAGGCCATTACAGATGGATCAGTATCCATCGCGCGAGAAATATTCTCGAGGAAGCGACAGAATTTTAATCTCCGATTTTGCGTCCTCAAATTATACAAGTTTTCTCTAATTTTTGTTTTTATTATCTGAATGAATATCGAGAGATCATCTGAGAATATATTTTACTCTCGAGAAATTCGTTATCTCAACGTTATATCAATTGTATATATTTATTATGTTACTTTGTATTATAAGTCTCTGATATAAGAACGGAGAGAAACATTGTAAAAGTGAAACCAAAGATTCGTTACTTTCCGCAGACACCGTGTTTAAAGTGACTATATGATTATATAAAAAGTTGTACTTTCGTGTCGATGAATGAAAAAATCCTTCGTCTGAGTTCCCCGAAGAAACATGTTCACACAATTGTTGTCGAATCGTTCGAAAAATTATAATAAAATTAACAACAGTTACATCGCTCGTCAACGTTTCGCTAGTTTTATTACGGTTCTTACGAGTAAGGGAATGGACAAGCCGTCATTGGAAACGAAATCCGGGTTTGATAGAGAAGGGACTGGAATAGTAAGGGACAGTCGTGGTCGGTGACAGCCACTGACAGTTCTCGATAAAAGTTTTCTCGACAATCGGGACGAACTGTACCTTACCGATCGTTTGTTGCGACGTTTCCTCCGCGCACGAGCTACCACAACTTTTGAACGTGCTGGCTTTAAAAACCGATACAAACTTTCGCGTTAATCCGGTAGGAATTCATTCTATTCATCGCGTCGGGCGTAATAAATGGAATGGTTGGGAATAGAATGACGGAGAGCTTGGGTCATTCTCCTCTCAATTCGATTCCATCGTATAGAGAGGGAGAGAGGATACATTTTTGAAACGATATTTTAAAAAAAAAAATAACTTTTTTTAGTTTCGATTTTTTTGTAATTTTAGATGTAAGTGAAAGATGAAATGGTGGATGATGGAAAATATAATGTAGGTATGGAAACGATGGAAACGTTCTCCTCTTAGAATTTTAATTCCAATTCCAATTCTTCTTATCTACGTACGAAAAATATCCTATGAGATTTTTTTTTCCCCTTCTTGATATTTGTTTATTTTTTCAATTGACAAAATTTCAATTCTATCCTCTTATCTATTACAATATTTTCTACTTATTTTTAAAAAAAAATCTTCCGAAATATTTTTCTCTCTCTTGATATTCGTTTATTTCTTCGTAAAATAATCTAAGAAACAGTCGACGAGATCGAATTTCAATTCTATTCTCTTATCTTTTTAAAAATATCAAGATCTTTCTCTCTTTCTCTTTATATTCCTTTCTTTACGAAATAATTTCAATTCCATCCTCTTCTCTGCACAATATTTCATACGATGTCTTTTTAAGAAAGTAATTTCAGACGCAACCGAACGAACCGATTAAATCGAACGAAATATTTTTTCCGAAAGCAGAGCCGAAATTATTTTCAACCAAATTATCCGCCATGAAGAATCTCGTGTACAACTTGAGAGCTTGAATAATTGACGAACCAACCTCGCCATTTCACGACGAACATTGTACAAGGGACAACGGTATCGCTCGAGATAAATTCAAATATTTACGTACGACGTAACCTGTCCTTCTTATATCGAAGTTTCGATGCTGAGAGAGAGAAAGAGAAAAAACTGTACCGCGATACCGTCGACGATGGTAATAAGCAATTATACTCGTTTTTTTTCAGATAAGCGACGATAATTTTTGCTCGCTCATATACTAAATATATATATATATATAGCAAAAACGACGACCCATTTTCTGGAATAGTACCAATCGTTTTCTTTACGTCTGTCTAAATATTTAGGATTTTATGATGGGTTGAAGATGTAACTCGCGTAAACTCGGAAAGCGATGCAGTTCCTTCGAGTTTTATGACTATTCTAAAAACTCGGCTCTCAAAAATGAGATCAATATTTAGAGGTACAATTTTTTTTTTCGACATTTTATTTCTTTTTTTTTTTTAATTGAATTTTGTCGATATATCTCGAATTCTCGAGAGAATTTGGGAAACAATGCGCCTCGTTAAATAACCGTTCGTCTTTTGGGAATTGCAACGCAACACCATCCTCGATTAATTATTAATCAAGAACAAGAGTATTCCTTTTTCGTAATTTTGGATGACCGAGCATAGTCTTTTTTATTATATTACAAATTTCCCTCGACGAATCTCCGAAACAAGGAGATTGAAAAATGGAAAATTGATCGATCCAACGAACGAAATGAAAGCAAGGAAAAAAATAATTCGGAAAAATGGATTTGAAAAATCTGATAAATATCGATTGATAAAATTTAAAAAAAAAAAAGCAACCCTGATAATCTCATATTCGATAAAATGTAAAAAACTTTGATATTTTCCATTTTTTAAATTCTTCTCTAATCCCATAATCGAATCTGCGTGTAATTCATCGTGAAACAATAACATCCTACCTTCCAACTATAATATTATTCGATCTATCTTTCAATTTACGGTGTATAAAGATGATAATAACGATAATAACAATAATAACAATAACAATAATAATAATAATAATAATCGAGACGCGTCGAAGAGAGCTGCCACTTGATGACATGTTCCCATTACTCGTTATCGATTGAACTATATCATTCCCCTCCCCATTCATCGATATTATACAAAAAGTTTGGCATAGCGAGAGAGAGAGAGACGAGTTTAGAAAAGGTTCATTGTTCCATTACGAATTACACGAAATTGTGCATGCGTATTATTATTATATCATCGTGGAAAGAGGGAGAGAGCCCCTCCACCGTTCGATCGAAATGTTTGGAAATTGAAGAAATCGACTTCTCTATTATATTTTTATGCAAAATTGAATTTTTCATTCACACGAATTAAATGCACTCGATTCATTCCTCGAATACGTTTCGTACTCGTATACGATTATCGATATTTTGAATTTCGCGGGCTTCTGTGAGTGTCTTTTCGAAGACAAGTCGTGCGCTTATTACGTTTCGAAATATTTTTATCGATGTCGTTTATTTTGTTTCGATTTTTCATCAATATACAGGGACAGTAAAAAGGACAATGGAAGGGATAAAGGGTTGAAAACGGAGCATTGACCCATTGAAAAAGTAAAATAGCTAAAAATTTCGAATGAAGTTATTTGAAAGTTTAAGTTGAATAACATTTATTGTAGTACATTTATTATAATTGATCCGTTTATTATAATTGATTTTCGTATATAATTTTGGCATTATTATTTCCAATTATTATTATTACGTTTTGAACGATAAATTATCGAAGTAATTTATGGAGAAAAAAAAAAAAATTTTAGTAGAAACTCTATTGTTGAGATTTCGCAAATCATTCGAATTTTTACGTCATAATCTTGAAACGATATCGATCGAAAATGAATAGCAGGAATGGAAACGATCACGATTATTCCAAGGCAACGTAAATATACAAAAGAGATAATTTTCGTTTCCCACTTGAACGTTTGTCACGATGTAATTAAAATAAAAATCGATAAGCCAAAATATTTCTTAATAACGTAAAAATCGTTGGATCGAATTTCGATTCGGATGGAAAAAGAGAAGGAAGGAAGGAAAGAAGAAATGAACGGAAAGGGATTCGGATTGGGGGACGAAAAATAAATAAAAAAAAAAAAAAAAAAAAAAACTGAAATGACGTTTTCGACGTCTTCGTTGACACGTGCGTAATAATCGAACGATCCGAGCCAAGTCGATTGATCGATAGCTCACTCGAAAACTAGATTAAAAGCCATCGATAATAGTTTAACTGCGCGTCTCTTGACCTCCTCTGCACAACGTAGAAATCTATTAATATATCGAGAAAGGTGATGATTCGATCGAGATAAAGCCCTCGAATCGATTCAAGAAAAAGATTTTAGATTAGTTTTCGAGATCGTTGATACTACAATTACGAACGTCGATTTTCACTATAAAAACCGGCGGATCGATCTCGATTCGTATTCCACTTCATCGACCAGGTGGAAAAGAAACTCTCGACGATGCGCAATCTTGTCGCCGTTCTTGCCCTCCTGGCAACCTTGGCTGCCGGTAAGTTTTTCGACATTCTCTCTTTCTCTATCTCTCTTCTCAATTTTCTCCTATTTAATTAGTAAAAGTTTAATTTTCTTCTTTGATATCCCAACGTTTCTTCTCGTAAAAATTTCGAAACGATCGGGTAACAATCTTACATTTCGAACATTTTGCAAAATTATCCGGTTGGATACAAATCGTTCTCAAATATTTATCAATTTAAGAAACGATCCAATTCGCTTCTCGCAAAGATTTCTAAATCAAGTAACAACGTTACTCCAATATTACTCTTGCAAAATTATCCAAATACGAATTTAAGAAACGAAACGAGCCAATTCGAAAAAATTTCTAAACGATCAAGTAACAAATGTTGCTCTTCCAACCTTTTGCAAAATTATCTTGATATATTCGTTGGGTACTGTTTTGATGAATTTAAGAAATGAAACGATCCAATTCGTTTCTCGCAAAAATTTCTAAACGATGAGAATCATGAATTTAAGAGCTAATTCGCAAAAATTTCAAAACGATCCGTTCAGACATTGAACAGAATGACGCCGCGAGGACAATTTTTGTGAGAAGAATTTGACGATCCTTCGCTTTGTAAATATTTAAAAACGATTCGATGATTGAGACGATATTCTCCAACCAATCTCAACGACAATCCCATCGAGAAGTATCATCCCATTCGAGAAGAAATTATTGCAAACGCTTGAGAAACAATTTCGCTTTGGGACTTTGATTCCTCTCCATCTCTAAGAGAATTTTCCTTATTTATATAGTATATATATATAATATTTGGGGTGATCAGGTGGGATTATCGATCGCCTCCCTGCGATCTCGCGAGAGGCTTTTGAGAGAATTCTTCGAATCTTAAAAACTTTCAGAACGTCGAATCTTTCGAATTTTCAGAATCCTCCAATTTTCAAAAACTTTAACCCTTCCGTTATTACGTCGCTCTCCATAAAATCCCACTGATACACTATGGGCGATTATGAGCGAGTTTTATCTTTCTCTGAAAACGTAGCATCAATATTTTGTTTTTATTATTCGTTTCACTATAATATTATTTGATTATTTGATTCCAAAGTGAGTAATTAAATACGAGTGTATTTAAAAGTTACAAATACATCAATATTTTGTTTTTATTATTCGTTTCACTATAATATTATTTGACTCCAAACTGAGTAATTAAATACGACTGCGTTTAAGAGTTACAAATATATCAATATTTTGTTTTTATCATTTGTTTCACTATAATATGTTTCATTTGTTCCATTCTATAATATTATTTGACTCCAAACTGAGTAATTAAATACGAGTGCGTTTAAAAGTTACAAATATATCAATATTTTGTTTTTATCATTTGTTTCATTCTATAATATTACTTGACTCCAAACTGAGTAATTAAATACGACTGCGTTTAAAAATTATAAATATATCAGTATTTTATTTTTATCATTTATTTCACTATAATATATAATATTTTATTTGTTCCATTCTATAATTATTTTATAATTATTTAACTCCAAACTGAGTAATTAAATACAAGTGCGTTAAGAATTACAAACATATCAAAATTTTGTTTTTATCATTCGTTTCACTATAATATTATTTGACTCCAAAGTGAGTAATTAAATACGAGTGTATTTAAAAGTTACAAATATATCAGTATTTTATTTTTATCATTTGTTTCACTATAATATGTTCCATTTGTTTCATTCCATAATATAATTTCATTCCAAACTGAATAATTAAATACAAATGTATTTAAAACTCACAAATATCCCTTTCGAATTTTCTTTTTGAACACGTGGAAGCATTCTATTTGCGAGCCATAAACAAACCCCCAAACCCCACTATCTATTCCTTTACCAAACCTCGCTTTCGATGAAACACCTTTACCATCCAATAGCCCCAACACAATAAATTAATATAATCTCCCTGTATATACCCTGTGTATATACCAACAAAAAAAAAAATATTACATTCCAATTACATTCCGCCTCTTCTTCAATTCCCCAGGTAACCCGGCCGATCCTCGGACGCTGGACATTGTGCAGAGGATGGACGGTCGGATCGTGGGTGGCGAGGCGACGACCATCCACGAGGCGCCGTACCAGGTCTCCCTTCGCAAGAACGGCTACCACATATGCGGCGGGAGCATAATAAGCGCCGAGTGGGTGTTGACCGCGGGCCACTGCTCCTCTTACCCCCTCTCCACCTACGAGATACGATCCGGCTCGACCAACGTGAACTCGGGCGGCTCGTTGCACAAGGTCGAGCTGATAATCAGGCACAAGAAGTACACAACCGACCGGTACGGTATACCGTCCAACGACATAGCCCTGTTCCGCGTCCAGGGCTCGTTCAAATTTAACGACGCGACGAAACCGGTCCAACTCTATCAAGGGGATTCGGCATCCCTCGTGGGGAAATACGGTTTGGTCACCGGTTGGGGCCGCACGAACACCAAGATCCCCGCCGTCCTCCACAAGGTCTCGGTCCCCCTCGTCCCCAAGATGGAATGCGACAGGGATTACTCGAGGTTCGGCGGCGTGCCCCAGGGTGAATTGTGCGCCGGATTCCCGGAGGGGGGGAAGGACTCTTGCCAAGGGGATTCGGGGGGGCCGTTGGTCGTCGACGGAAACTTGGTCGGCATCGTCTCTTGGGGGATGGGGTGCGGAACGCCTAAATACCCAGGTGTCTACACGGACGTGGCTTATTACCGGGAATGGGTGAGGGAGAACAGCGGCGTCTGAATTTCGAATTTTCGAATTTTGAGGTCGAAAAGTGAGTGTATTGATATTTTTGAGTATTTGGAAATTGATATCGATTAACTCGGGCACATGATTTTTTTTCCTATTCTCGAGACAATGTTAAGTAAGGCTTGGAGTTTTAAGCGATCTTGTATAGTATGGTAACGTTTTCAAACTTCAAAGATTTTTGAAGACGAGATAATTGTGTATATATCTATGTGTATGTATATATGTAATATATAATTGCAGCGTGTAAATAAAAGTTGTACAGAGAATAAAAATTTTTGTTATTTATCTATAGAAGTTTTATTTCCTTCCAAAGTTAAAACATTTCGTTTTGGTATTTTATGTATGGAGATATTGAAAAAGAAAAGAAAAAGAAAAAAATGTGTGTGATTTTTGATATGCCTCCTTTTAAAGGAAATTGTTTCCAATATTTTTTTACTTTTCTAATAAATATTCTATGCTTTATCGTTTAATTAAGATATAATATAGTTTTTTCTTTTTTGGAATTTTAACAATTAATCTAAATGTGACAAGAAAAAGATTGAGATAGATCATCTCAGAATCGTAGATTTATATGAATCTGATCTCGAGCTGAACGAGCAACTATCGTTACGTTTAATAATATAACATATTAATTATATAATCGCGTGATAAGAGACGGCTGGATCGTTGCGAATATCAAACCATTTATCCAATTGTCGCGATTTCGAACGTATGAAGTGATAATTCGTATAATGATTTTCATTTCAGGGATCGAATGCAGCTGAGATAGCGATGATAATGAAGAAAGAATATATCTACATTAGTGATTTATCGCTTGTCGTACGTGTGTGTGTGTGTGTATCGTTCCATTTTTCACACATATCTTATATTTCTTTATTTGAATATTTCGATTGAATATTCGTTGATTCTTTCGAAGATTTTTATCGGTCGCGATAAAGCGAAAGAAAGAAACGAAGAAGAGGAGAGATGTCTGTCGGTAGATAGATCGATCAATTTCGTATTAAATCCTCGTAGAGATCAATGGATTTACGAATATTTAATCTAGCTTTTTTTGAATAGCCCATTTATCGATGGATAACACGATTTTGCAACGAGATATTCGCATTAAACGCGATATTCATTTTCGTATAAATAGGGTACGAATTTTAGGTTAAAAGCAGTTCGATCCAAATCGTGAGATCAAGATGTACGGCAAATTGAATTTATTGGCACTAGTCGCCATCGCGACAGGTAATTGTTTTATCCTCAATTGTTATTCATTTTTCGAAGCAATATTTGGTTTAAAAATTTTAACATTCCTTCATCTCTTAATTCTCTTTATAATTCTCTTTATAATATCCTCCTCTCTTAAGATCAAGATGAATTGTTTTTGTTGTCCAATAACTAAATTATCTGTATCTTCAAATTTTATACTAAATTTTTCATGTTCAAGAAAGAATGTTAGTTCAACTTCTTCCTCTTCTTAATTTAATTCTCCTTTATATCAAGATGATTCTTATTTTTTTTCAGTAAATTATATCTTTAATTCTCCAAATATTCACATTTTTCATGTTCAAAAAAGAATTAATTCTAAAAATTGAACTTCTTTCTCTTCTTAATTTAATTTTCTTTTATATCAAGATAATTCTTGTTTTTCTTCAATAGTTAAATTATCTATATCTTCAATACTAAATTTTTCATGTTCAAGAAAGAATGTTAATTCAACTTCTTCCTTTTCTTAATTTAATTCTTCTCTATACCAAGATGATTCTTGTTTTTCTTCAGTAAACTAGTTACCTATATCTTTAATTCTCCAAATACTCACATTTTCATGTTCAAAAAAGATTGTTAATTCAAATGTTAATTTCAACTTCCTCTTCTTAATTTAAGTTTTCTCTACCAAGATAATTTTTGTTTTTCTTAAGTAAATTAATTACCTACATCTTTAATTTTCCAAGTGTTCAAATTTTTCATGTTCAAGAAAGAATGTTAATTCCACAAATTTCAATTTCTTCCTCTTAATTTAATTCTTCTCTGTACCAAGATTCTCTGAATCTTATTTTTCTTCAGTAAACTAGTTATCTATATCTTTAATTCTTCAAAAAAGAATGTTAATTTCACAAATTCAATTTCTTCCTCTTCTTAATTTAATTCTCTTCTATAACAAGATGACTCTTGTTTTTCTTTAGTAAACTAGTTACCTATATCTTTAATTCTCCAAATACTTACATTCTCATGTTCAAGAAAGAATGTTAGTTCAAATTTCAACTTCTTCTTCTTCTCAATTTAATTCTTTTTTGTATCAAGATGAATCTTGTTTTCCTCTATTAAACTAGTTATCTATATCTTTAATTCTCCAAATATTCACATTTTTCATGTTCAAAAAAGAATGTTAATTCCAAAAATTCAACTTCTTCCTCTTTTTAATTTAATTCTCTTCTATATCAAGATGACTTGTTTTTCTTCAATTACCTATATCTTTAATTCTCCAAATATTCAAATTTTTCACGTTCAAAAAAGAATATTAATTCAAAATTCAACTTCCTCTTCTCACTTTAATCCTCCTCTATACCAAGATAACTCATATTTTTCTCAAGTAAACTAGTTACACATCATAATTACACTTAGATACATAGTTACACTTATACATCATAAATTATTATATATCTTTAATTCTCCAAATGCTCAAATTTCTCAAAAAGGATATTAATTCAAAATTCCTCTTCCTCTTTCTCAATTTAATTCTCCTCTGTACCAAAACCAAAGACGAATCTTGTTTCCTCTTCTAACTTATCTCTACGTTCCCTCTTCGCCATTCTCTTCATCGAAGAACGATCAAACGCGTTCTTTTCGTTTCTGAAAAAAGAAAACGTTTTTAGCGAGCCCGATGTCGAGACCTGCGCTCAACCCCCTCTTCCCGACCGGCCAGATAATCGGCGGCACGGAAGCGCGGATCGAGGAGGTGCCCCACCAGGTCTCCCTTCAGACTTTCGGCTTCGGCTTCTGCGGCGGCAGCATCATCTCGAACGAGTGGGTGGTGACGGCCGCCCACTGCATGTCCTACCCGGCCGAGTGGCTCACGGTCCGCGCTGGAACCGCGACCAAATCCTCGGGCGGGAGCACCCACGGCGTTGCCGAGATAATCGTGCACGAGAATTACATTACGAACCGTTACGGCGTGCCCGAGAACGACGTGGCCGTGTTGAGGGTGAGGACCCCGTTCAAGTTGGACGCGACCCGCCAACCCGTCAAACTGTTCAAGCGGAACGAGGAATCCGTGGCAGGTGTCGGCGCGGTCATCACCGGATGGGGCTCGGTCATGGAGGGCGGTAGCACGACCGAGACACTTCAGACCGTCACCGTGCCGATCGTTTCCAAGAGCTCGTGCAACGAAGCGTACAAATCGTACGGGGGCCTCCCTTTCGGCCAGATATGCGCCGCTGTGCCCGAGGGCGGGAAGGACGCCTGCCAAGGTGACTCAGGCGGCCCGATGACCATCCACGGCCGTCTCGCGGGCCTCGTCTCTTGGGGCTACGGCTGCGCAAGGCCTGGATACCCCGGCGTCCACACCGAGATCGCCGCCTTCAGCGATTGGATCGCCTCCAAGACCGGAATCACGGTGTGAAAGAGGTTCCGCGATGAAAGCTTCTCCTTCTCCGCCTGTTTCTTTTGTGTCTCTGTGTGTGTGTGAAACGTTGTTATCGCGCGAAAAATTTCAAAAAAAAAAGAAGAAAGAAAAGAAAGGGAAAGGTAGTTGTTCAATTCGAAAAATTTCTCTTTTTTATCGTTGTAATTTTAATTCGTTGTAATAATATCTTGTAAATTTTATTCTTGTATAATGTTTTTTTTTATTGTTTAGTTTTTATTTTTTTTGTAAAAATTTTTTGTTTATGTAAAAATTCCTATCAAAAATATAATAAAAAATTCGTTAGATTCGAGATATCGAATTTTACTTCTACCTCGTAAATACTGTTATTCTTATATGTATAGAGGTTATGTTTCTTCTATGTGTTTAATTCAATATGTATATATAATTTACTCTATAATATAATATTCTTTTGTTCCGATTGTTATCGAAAAATATAATAAAAAATTCGATTCGAGATATCGAATTTTTCTTCTACCTCGTAAATACTATTATTCTTATATGTATAGAGGTTCTTCTATGTGTTTAATTCAAAATATATATACATATAATTTGCTCTATAATATAATATTCTTCTGTTCCAATTGCTATCGAAAAATATAATAAAAAATTCGTTAGATTCGAGATATCGAATTTTACTTGTAAATACTATTTACCTTGTAAATACTATTATTCTTATATGGATAGAGGTTATGTTTCTTCTACGTGTTTAATTCAAAATATTTATATATAATTTTCTCTATAATATAATATTCTTTTGTTCCGATTGTTATCGAAAAATATAATAAAAAATTCGATTCGAGATATCGAATTTTTCTTCTACCTCGTAAATACTATTATTCTTATATGTATAGAGGTTATGTTTCTTCTATGTGTTTAATTCAATATATATATATATATATATAATTTACTCTATAATATAATATTCTTCTGATTTATCTGAAATTTTCTCCATGTGGCGACACGTGCAACGAAGCTGTAATGTTTTCGAACAAACGTTTCGCGCGGTTCGAGTCGAAATTAATTCCCCCTTCGGTGTGGCAAACAGGGTCCCCGATTCAATCTCGACTAATGCGCTAACCTTATTCCGGGACTTCCAGTCGGAAACTACGGGGAAAGCGCGCGCCTTTCATTAACAAATTGCACCGAGTGTCGCCGAGACGACATCGAGGAAATATCGTTTGAACGAATTCTAAGGGAATTTCTGGTTCCGGTGTCGTGGCGTGAAATGGCCGGGCGAGGAATGATCAATTAAATTTTCGAAACATTGGCCAAGATAATTCGAGACTGTATTATCCTCGACAAGTAGCAATGTTATCGACGGATTAACGAGACTCGGTCAAGATTAATCGGTCAGATATTTGCCAAAATTAACTTTCCATTTTGTCATCGAACGAATTTTCGTACGATCGTTGATTGTATGATTTTTTGTTCTTTTTTTATCGTTCAAGCATATTCTCGATCGAGTCTCGATGCGAGGAAGATTTGCAAAGTTCGCAAAAATAGCGCAATCAACGGAACGAAGTGCACGTCCATAAGTTTGTTGAAATGGAATTGGAGTTCCAGTTTTATATGGGTTAAACGCGTCTGAGATTTGAGATTATCGACTAGCGAGGATCGGAAACGCTGGCCAAAAAACAAATTTCCAACATTAATCGTTCGTGTGTCGCGACAAAATGTGTACACGAAGAGGATAAATAATTGGAGAACATTTTTGTATCGCGAAATTGTTTCCAAAAATGGAACAATAATTTTCGAATCTTTTACAAAGGTTAGGTTAGTCACGATTTAAATCGTTATATCTCGTATCGATCTATTCTTCAATCAATCTATCCAGCGTATCTCGTATCGATCGATCGATTGCAAAGTTCGACGAACGAGAGAAAGGAGACAAGAAAGCAAACGGTGAAACGCACGAGCAAGGACCAGTCGATAAATTATTTTTAGACCGTTTGCTTGGCCCCAACGCGGAATTAACGATCGAACCTAGGAAACGAGGACGATACGATCGAGGTCAGTTGCGATTACCCTGCGAGGAAACGATACGTTTACCTTGAACATCGGATCTTTCTTGCGTCGACCCCTTAGCCGCGTAAAGGATATGTCGCGTAAAGGGACGCACTCTTCGATTATATATCACTCCTTTCTTTAAATAATAACTCACGCGTGCGTGTCCGTCCTTCGTGACAATCGTGACAAAAATACAAATATTAAATTTTTTTTAAATTTTTGAAAATTTTTTTTGAATTTTTGAGATCATCCTGAGACGAAAATTTTATTCTCGAAGAAAACTTTCGATATCGTGACGCTTAATATGTTTTTTTTTCTTTTTTTTTTTTTTGAATTCTATTATCTCATTGACCATTAAACGTATAATATTAGTTTAATACACGTACACACTTTTAATCGATATTTATAGAAGCTTTTCAATATTTATAGGCCGACGGTCTTGATATTTATAAAGGCGATGGAAGAGCGTGGCATTAAAAGATAAAAGAGAAGGGAAAAAAGGAAAAATATATACGACAGAAAGACATCAAATGAGCGATTACTTGTTTCTACCGAGTATACCGAAAAGAAAACAAAATCTGATAATTGAATATTTTCTCGCATCGTATCATTTAATATATCTTTGTTCCGGGCAAAATTGGAGAAAGCAAAAGGAAACGGTACAGGCGAAATGTACATAGTTTGGTCAGTAGGAGAGCGTGTGAACTTTTGACCTCGACACTAGAAGCGCGTGCCAACCCCAATAGGATCAACTTTCTCGAAACATTCCTACAATCCCTTCCTAACCTAACCTAACCTTCGTTCTTAATTATTATCTTCCAATTTCATTCGAATCTCGTCCTAAATGAATTATTGTCAAGAATAAAAATCTTTTGTGTGAAAAACTTATTCTATATACTTATTGAAAATATGTCGCATCGAATAAATAATTATGTCAAATATAAAACAGAACGCGATGTGCTTGTTGTCTTTCTACCTATAGAAAGCTGAATTGTTTTTGCACGTACCGATAATATATACGAGGACAATCTTTTCATAAGGTTGCAACACACGTAAAATTGACAAAGTCGATGCGATATATATGTGTGAATGAATATGCATGCAGGTGGCAACATCACTGACGACTCACTGAAAATTTCATCTTTGAAAATGTAATTAATCGCGTACGTGCTTAATATCGAAGGAAGCAAGCCCTGCGTGGCTCGAGTATCCTCGGGTATCCTCGAGCATTTTCGAGTGTCCTCGAGCGAGGCTCGATCGTATGTTTTATAAAACTACAAATATGAACTGTGTCCATCGACCTTCGATATACATCTACTTACACTGTTCGTTCTTTTGTAGCTTGTTAACTCCTTATTTAATCCTACACCTACACGGTACGTCTTCTTTCCGATAGAGTTTCCTAAGAATCATAAGAAAATTTCTTAATGATCGGATTAAATTCTAACCTAACCTAATTTAACCTGATTCGCGTAATAAATATATGATTAAGTATATTTTCGCGTTCATATTTTCAAAACAACAAAACTTTTCAGATGCACTATTTAGTTAAATGATTGTGAATCGTTGATTTTTCGCATTTTTAAAATTATTACAAACAACAATCGATTTTTCTATCGTATTGTTAAGGAATCGAAATAATCGTTTTGCATTTATTTCGTTCGGAATCAAAACAAATTGCGATAGAAATGATGTCATAACATATGAACTTCTTAACACTAAGCAATACTATGCTTACTCTATATCACAAAATATTGGCTTACGATCATTTTAGTTTATATGTTCGATCAATTTATTTCGGGTAGCATGACTACATTCATAACAGTGTGTGAACAAAAATGTTATTACATGTTTGAAGTTTATATAGAGACAAAACATTAAAAAATCCAAATGACGTTTAATTCCAAGGTTATCCTTAACTTAATGAATTAGACGTGTAAATGTAATCAAAATTTTAAGCTTTAAGAAAAAGATTTTAAAAAAGAAATTTAACACACGATAAATATCGCTATATATTAATATATATTTTAAATACTTGCTTGACATTTGATAAACAATTCGATAAGTATCAATTCAATATGGCTGATCAAATATCGAATAATAATATCGATAAAATATCGAAACAGTGAAACGTTTAGATCGAAAGACTTTCTCGAGATCGAAATAAATTCGATCGAATGAAACTAAAATGACATCGATTGACACAGACAAAAATTAACTAGATTTATTTCAATTATTTCGTATAACTATTCTATCTATTCGATTTGTTCTCATTCTATGAATTACGCTTATTATGAAAGTATAATTAATTTAGAAAAAGATTTTAATAAAAAGTTTTTTTTAGTGTCGTTCTCGATCTCTTTGTCATTGAAACATGAGATCTTTGAATATTGTTCAATAATCTTATGTTTACTGACAAGTATACATAATAGTTGAAATAAAAAATGCATTATAGGTTTCGTTTTATCGAATTTAACCATGATTTGAATCAACAATATAAAATTTATGTATTCTTATATTTCATTATCGAAGAAAATGCGATTTTAAAATATGAATAATCTGATATAGAGAAATATCTATCGTAGAAGAAGATAATTTTCATTCGTGCAAAAACATATTATGAATCAAAGGATCGCGACAATGATCGATATTAACAAATTCAAGTGTTCATTTTCGCACAGAAATTCAAAGATTCTCGTTATGTCACTCGCGAATGCAAATTTGGCACATGACCAAAAGACTCACCGAAATGATGCTCTCTGGTAACGCGTCCGTTTAGAAACTTGGTCGCTGATTCGTCAATTCGTTTCAAAAATTAACCTGACCTTCTATTTGTCGGATTGAAAAAAAACTGCACTGTCAGATTCGGGAAGGCCATCCGAAATCAAGTCCAGGATGTAACACAATCAAGAGAAACGTAGTTAGATAAATATATGCGGAAAATAGTCGCACAGAAAGACGTCAACAGAGACACATACCCGACCGCGATAACTTTTAGACTGAGGGTTGTTTCGGCGCGATACTACTACACCGCCACCCCTCGACCAACCGGCTCACTAGACACCAGACCGACGCACCGCCAAACTATCGTGAACCAACGAAACTACGAATCATTCGACACCTCTTCTGCTACTAGAACTATTGTTTCGCGAAACGATTGGCTTTTATCTAAAATTCACACTAGTTTTTTTTATTCTTCGAGGTCGTTATACTATTTCGAGTAAATATTTTCAATTTATTTTTCTTTTGATTCATTCTGTAAAGAATTTTATAATTGCTAATTCCTATTTAAATAGTTAACGTTGATTGAAAAATTAAACGAGAAATTTACCGCGAAAAAGACAAGTTCGATATGTCGCGATATTCGACGCGTCGAACGAATATCGTATCGTATCGTATCGTATCGTATCGAATAGTTTTTTACGTTTTTTCCAACGAGTTTATGAAATGTGATTGTCGTGCATTTATCCTGGTACACGTAATCTTACGATAACGACACTATAATTTTACACCGCTATACTAAATTCTTGCATAATTATGCCTAGCACCGTTCCATCTTTCGATAAGTTGCAACGATATATTGCGCGATTGGCATGCAAAGTTCACTCAACGTTGGTTATTTTCGAACACGTAAACTACATTCGATATGGATGAATTTCTTTTCTACAAAATTTTCCTTTTATTTCTCGGATGTGAGTATTCTATTTTCGCGAATACTTTAATGTGACAAACAAATCTAGTTTCGTATTACAAGCGGGAAGAGCGGTGTAATTGAAATTTAAAAAAACAATTATTTGACAAAGTTTTCGAATATCTTCTTAGTGAGAACGAGCGAACAGAAACTTTCTTCGGAAGATCGAATCGTCGATGGAGCATTTATCAACATCACGAATGTTCCGTATATGGCAAGTAACTATATCTATTTTCTTTTTTTTTTTTTTACATTAGAAAAAAAAGATCCCTTTTTTATAATTCACATAATTGAAAATTCATAAAGTTAAAAGAAGAAAATTAATAAAATGATTGTTTATAATAGTTATCGTACAGAGTAAATAATAATCATGCATGCGGTGCTGCTATCATTAATAAAGAATGGGGATTAACTGCCGCTCATTGCGTTACTCCGTAAGATATGATTTTCTTTCTTTTTTTCAAGATCAAGCTTCTACTCTCCATTTTATCATATTTAATATCATATAATTGATTCAACAGATTTGTCGATAATCCCTCAATTTCGCTCAGCGTCCGTAGCGGATCTAACAGACACGATTTCGGTGGAATTATTCACAATGTAACGACATTTTCTTATCACGAAAAATATAATGAACAGAACAACGATTACGACATTGCGGTATTCAAAGTTTATCCGCCATTCGATTTTAACAACACGACGCAACCCGTCAAATTGCCTGAAAACATTGAATTTTTTAACACAAATTGGGGTTTAATTGCTGGTTGGGGTTACTTTATCGTAAGTTCATTTGTAAAGAATAATTTAAGAAAAAAAAAAAAAAAAAAAAAAGAAAGAAAAACAACGAAACTGTAACTGAATAATAGAACTTATAGGATTTCGATCCGATGTTATCGGAAAAGCTGCAATACGTTATCGTACCGAAAGTGAAGAGAAAAAGGTGCATAAAGGATTATAAAGGCAGATATGAAGTAACAGAGCGTCAAGTCTGTTATGGATTTTCACAAGGAGGGAAAGATGCGTGTAAAGTAAATTATAATTTATTTTAATAATTAAAATTACTGATCATTGTTTAAAATCCATTCTGACTAAGTATCATTTTATAATAGGGTGATTCCGGTGGTCCATTGGTTAATAATTTCACTGTAATCGGTATAACTTCGTGGGGCTACGAATGTGGTGTACCAAACTCACCTGGCGTCTACACCAATGTGATCGATCTACTAGGATGGATTAAAAATAAAATTAGATCGATTCAATAATTCTTTAATCAATCCGGTTTTGCAATTTGAAAATAATTCAAAAATCAGAAATAAATATCTCTTATATAAGAAATCATTTCGTTGAATTTAACATTAATGAAAAACTATAATAATCACAATATTGTTACGCTTGTTTGATATCTCTCATACGCTTTGATTCGGTATGATTAACTCGACGCTTTTTTCATCACTGGATATAACAAATCTGGCTTTCTTATAATTGGAAAGATTCATCTTCCTCCGAGTTGACCACACTTCGTAACCAAGTTTATAAAACTTTGGTAAACGATCGAAACCTCCAGCATCAGCCAACGAATCGTTGTATTCCCATTGTTTGTTCATTAATTTGTGCGCGTGTCTATTCTTCGATGTCTTCAATTTTGAATCTTCCAACATAATTAACCTCGCCGGTAAACTTATTCTTTTCTCTAATAGTGCAAGAAAATACTGTATCTAAAAAAAAAATGTATATTTTTGTACAGATATTTTGCATATAGTTCGCGTATTTAATATTAATTTAATTCAATATATCAATTATTACCTGCATATGAAACATGGGAAATGGAACAACAACAGTCGGTACGCCGACGATACACATTGTAGGATGGTTGATATTAATTAAATGTTTATATAAAGGAGTTATAAAATTGTTATCCACCTGTATTTCACAAGTTTCGTCTAAAAATGGAAAGCTATATCGATATCCTGTGCAAAACATGAATACGTCCGCTGTAACAAAGCTTTGATCCTTCAAAAAAATTTTTTCTTTCTCTATTCTCTCTACGCCTAACACCTCGATTATTTTCGATGGTAAATTGCCATTTAACCTGAACGTGATGAAAATTTTTCATTTTTTCAATAGCTGCAAGCACAATTGTCTTGGAATGAAACGATTATAAATAAATAATACCTTTCGTTATTGTGACTTAAATATATTCGAGTTACGTGATTAACCAAGTCAAGAGCAATATCGATTCCAGAAGCTGCTGCGCCCAAAATTAAAACGCTCTTACCGGAGAAATCTTCTGGTTTTCTGTATGAATGACTATGTATCACATTACCCGAAAAATTTTCCATTCCTGGTATCGTTGGAACATAAGGATCGAAATAATGTCTAAATTATACAATGTATATAAAAAAAAAAAAAAAGAGAGAACAAAAATTAAATCTTTTAAATCGTATATCGTTAATATTAAATTATAATAATATTATAATTAAAATAAAAAATAAAAAATAAAATTAAATAAATAAAATATTAGGGGAAAAGACACACACCCATTGCAAATTATCACAGAGTTAAAAATAATCTCTTCCTCTTGCTTCGTTTTTAACATTTTTATTCGGACAACCCATTCTTCTTTGTCTTCGATTGATTTTTTTAATCGGACAGATTCTACCCTTGTATCGAACTATAATATTATATCTTCTTAATAATAAGTAATTAAGAATTTTCAAGTATTTATAAATAATATGAGATACATTTGCTCTTACTTGAATATATTTCAATAAATCAAAATGTTTCGCGTAATTTTGTAAATAAGTTCGAACTTCCTGATGTGTCACGCAACAAGGTTCTTCAGCGTTCAATCTCTGGTAATCAGGAAAATTCATAATTTTTGCTGGTAAATTGGTTCTATAATAAAAAGTGAAAATTTCAATATTCGAATTTATATTACACAAGTACATTTCTATAAAATTAATGAAAATATTGCACGAAGTTAAACCTTAGATCCCGATACATGCTCGAATGAACAGGCAAACCATTTTCATCGACTTCGGTTGCTTCTTTGTAAATCCATGTGCCGCCGATATCATTTGTTTGTTCATAAACTTTCAATTCGAAATTTGAATTTGGAGCGAAATGTCTTGCTGCGCAAAGGCCTGCTGCGCCAGCTCCTATCACGCACACTTTCGGTCTCGATAATTCAGCCATCTGCAATTCGTGCGTAACCTATGTGCTAGTAATAAAAGTTTGATATCATCGAAGGAAATAGAAATTTTTCTAAAAAAAAAAAAAAAAACGACGATTTTTTTTACATCCTTCAATATCAATATGTAATATATATATAAATTGATTTCAATGTACTTATAAATGAATTCATAAAAAATTAAAAAATAACACCTACAATTGTCATTATTTCATACAATAATTATTTCAATTGAATATAAAATTATTTATATAGTAAGTACAATTGTATTTACAATTTGAAAAAGAGGAAATCGAAAAGGAAATCGCGAATTATTGGTATTATTAAAATATCTAAGTGTTATCTTTGCGAGTATATCGAAAACACGAAATAGCTTTTGGCTAAATCTACAGTAGCACTTACGACTTACACTGTATTGTAAATTTAAACGATAATATTTTATGCACCTAACACGAAAGAGTTTGATTTCCGTCGACAAAATTATAGTTTTCGTTCGTTGCTCCCTTATTTTATATCCTTAAAAAAAGAAGGAATTTAAAGAAAGAAAAAAAGAAGTAGAAACGGAAAAAATAAAAAACCTCAAACTTATCTATACAATATTATCACAATCACAACTACTATGCGGTTTGAGAAATGACATTTTTGATAAAATTTTCAACATCTGTAAACATACATATCTTATATTTAAACTATTCCAACAGTGGAAGTAAAATATTTATTAGTAATATTTCTTATAACATTACCATGTAAATAATCATAACATTAACTTCATAATCTATATTAATGCTCGATTTTTATTATATACCTAGTATTGAGCAATTAATTGTAAAAATCTCCTTGTTACAATGGTATATTTCTGTATGTGTTTTCAGTCGATATCATATCAATCAAAACGAAGATATTAAATAATTTAATGATTTTTATGTATGGTGAATTACTTTTATGCACATATATCGAATGAAATACGCAAATTTTTTTAACTATTTAATTTACATTAATTTTTTTAAAAACAATGTTAAATAATCAATCTCTTTAACTTTCGTTCGTAAAACATGAATTCAAAAAAAAAAAAAATATTCAAAACATTACAAAATTTAAAAATATTGAATTATATTGAATGACACAAAAGAAATTGTTGTGTCATCAATTTTGCTTCGTTAAAAACACGTTTAATCTCGTTCAATGGTCGAAATTAGGCTGTATGTAGTAGAAACCGATCAAAGATATACATATAAGTTTCTCATATTTTTATCCTTGTGGCTTGTTTCTTTATCAATGAATTCCTTATTATTTAATTTGATTATATCTTATTTGTTTTTTATAATCGATTTGTGAACGACTAATTTCTATATATAGATCATTCAAATATATCAATTTACCTTCAAATAAAAAGAACAAAGAAATCGTAGAATCTGTTCCAATCACTTATCAACAATTCGCAATTCATCATTTCACAACTTTTTGTTTTGTTCATCGAACATCGATATATCCGATTTTTTTACATTATCACAATAAACATCAAACGATTTGTAACTAGTACGTGAAATTCGCAACAATTTTTTATTTTATTGAAACATGCTTATTTAACTGGGAATGCAATGTAAAAGTTTGACACTATCAATCATCATTATATACAAATCGTCATATTGCTTATTCGAATTCATTTTTTTTTTTTTTCTTTTCCCTTAATAATAACAAAAATTCATCCTTTCTTTGCGTAAAACATTCGATTTTATAAGTTTTGTGATTTGTTTTTTTAAATCATCAGCAAAATAGATTAATAGAGAAAGCTTAATGCTAGTAGATACACATAAATATACACAAAAATAAACTCGATCTAGAATCCATGATGATATAAAATTGATCAAACAGTATAATAAAAAATATAGAAATAAAAAAAAGAAAGGTTTGTTACGAAATTATAAATAAGAATTCCTTTTAAATAATGAGTACATTAAAAAGTTACGTATGCAATAAATGTTCAAGTTGATTTCTTAATTCTTTTTAAAATATAAAGATTCAAAAAAAAAAAAAAAAGAAAAATATTTTTGATCAATATAAAAATAAAGATAACATATGATGCAATATTACTGATTGACATTGTTTCATTTATATAATAAAAGAAAAATAATAATAAATAAATAAATAAATAAAAGTGTAACGCTGTATCCTCTTATTTTGAAAGATCATTTTGCTAAACTTTATTCCTCGATAAAAAATAATCTCGATTCTCGTCTCTCTTACTTATTCTCAGTCTATTTCGGTATAATATATCTGCAATCACTATGCATTTCTCTTATATGCCGAGATTTAATTTAACGTTAAATATTATTATTAGTTAGTGAAAATGGAATTCTTATAACGGGTTACAAATTAAAGAGAGAATGATAACAAACAGTTTTGTATGCTTAAACATTGTACGTACAATAATGGAAGAACAACTGAAAAGATATTTAGCAAAAACAACAGACAAAGAGAGAGAAACAATGCTAACGTTCTAATCTTATTCGTTACAAATCGACATAATTAATTCACTTTAGCCGAAAAGATGTCCACTTTACATCGCTCCATACTTTAATCGTCGAATATATAAATATATTTTCAATCAAATATACAACGCACACAAACTCGTTAAAAATGGCTTCATTCTCTTTTCCTTCCCTTCGCTTGTTACTTCTTTCTCGATATAACGCACGTATCATGCACGTACGCGCCTTTTTTTTTTTTTTTTTTGTAACCGAAGAAATTTTTGAATTCGTTAAATCTATATGTAAAATTTTTTAGATAGTCATTGTCTGGAACACGCGCTATCTATCCCCGTTCATTTATAAATCGAACAAATCTCCAATCTATTCCCCTCAGTTTCGTATCTTTTATAATTTGATCCCATTTACGAAGATGCGCATTTTCTCATTCTCGTGTCCGTGAATAAGAAAAATCTTTCGACGAGGGATAGGATCCAATAGGCACGTTTTAAGTTAAGTGTGTGTTTTCTGGGAATCGATCCGACAAAAATTCGTTACTAAGGGCGTCCTTTTTTTTTTTGTCGTATCAACATGCGTCACAAGTGTCCTTTTTACATTCTTAAAATGTTTTCCTAAAATGTCAAGAATACATGTATGTACATATGCTTTGGCAAATGTCCTCTTTCCTTTTTCTTTTTATTATTATTATTATTATTATTATTATTATTATTATTATTATTATTATTATTATATTTTTATTTTTATTATTATTATTAAAACGAACTACTTTCCTCCTCGTGTTTCGCATTCACTTACGTTACACGTATCAAGAAAAAAAAAAAAAAAAAAAAGAACTCGAGCGAACGTTGATTACAAATTACACGCATCAAATTTCACTCGAGTTAGCCGCAATTTTTTTTCTCGTCCACTTATGTCATCGGACGAAAACGGATACATTCAATTATATTCTCGCAAGAAGGTAAATAAATTGTTGTTCAAAGACTCATCGTAAAACATTATTCTCATACGATAATAATAGTAAAATATTCAAAATATATATCAAACAATTCATTTCGATTTTTTTATATACAAGATATCTTACTCAATAATCGTATAAGCACACCATCTGTAGATAGATCGAATAAAGAAAAATACAAAAGTTAATATACTGTACAATTAAAGGAAATGAGAAAAAAAAAAAAAAAAAAAGAGAGAAAAGAAAAAATAATAAAAATAAAAGGGGAAACGAAAGAAAATATTTTATACAAATACGTTTCTTTACATCTAAACGTTTACGAACGTTAGTTCACACATGCTCGTTTCGAATACGCATCAAAGAGATTCTTTCTATAACATTCTCGGCCTATACATATAGACTCGCAGATAAGAAAATCATACATTGTGTGTATATTATATATTTGGCGTGAACCTTTGATTCGTACTTGTTGAACGTTTATTTATTAAAAATATATCTTGATTAAAAACAATCTCTGCCAGTAGATTTAGCATTTTCTTTACAAACGATACAACTCGTTAAATAATCTAATAACGAAGACGGAGTGAGTCTACATGCGTTTGTTCACATACAAGGACTTTCGATTCAATAATTCTTACGAGGTATATAAATATACCCGAACTGCGTGCTATCCGTTTGAAACACGCACGCACAACTACAACTTACGCTTTTTTTTTTTATTTTATTTTGCTTCAACATCATTCTTATAAATGTCTATGCCATAACACTCAATAGGACAACAAGCATATATATATGCATATATATATATACACTCGCACAATCGAAAATATAATTTTTCAAATGTGCATTACGTACACATAAAATCACTTGGTATTCCATTGAATATCGCATTGGACATCGCATGTATAGAATTATAGTAAATTATCTTCAAATTAATAAGTCGATTTCTAGTTCAATATACATGTATATATATTTGAGTTGTAGAAAAAAATGTATTTATTGTAGGATCACGTACACGATACTGATCACGAGTCTTGTTGTTTGCTTATCCAAATTACAGAAGAAACGATCAACGGGCGGATTGTATGAATTGTATGTACCAAATAATATAACCTTCAATAAAATCACCAGTAACAAGTTCATTTCATTTCTATGTAGTAATTCATCATAAATATATAAATATCTAATTAGAGAGAAAAACGATTTTCAATCTTGCTCTTTCCCTTCTTTTCCATTCTTCTCTTTCTTCTTTATTAATCTTATTGCTGTTTGATCATATCGTATAATATATATATATATGGTGGTATAATAACGTTCACAGATCGTAGATACTCACACAATTTCTCATTGATCATAAGATTAATTCCATGGAATTAAAGAAAATTCTCTCTGTTAGACATATAAGCGATCGTTGATAGCCACGCTTTACGCATCTTCAATCGCCGATCGATGATTTATTTTGTAAATCTTATTACACAATTTCAGTGATCAGTGATGATTCCAATATCCAAACAGATCATATACACAAATAAGCTCGTATAAGTAGACTTATATCGACATTCTTGTTTTTATTTGTCATTCTTACGTTGAAAAAGAATCATTTTGGTTAGGTTAGATAAGAATTAAATTAGACATTAACCTTCGCTCACCGAAGAAAGCGAGCTACGGGTTGAGCCAACCGTATGATGCGTCAAGTCGGTAAGATCTGCTGGTAAGCACAATGGTATCGCACTTGGCCCGTAAATCGCCTCTTGTTCCTCCAGCTGTAACGCAAACTGTTCTTCCAATTTCTGTAACGAAAAATATCGAGTATACGATTAAATATATAATACGCAACACATAGCACAAATTAATGGATAAACGAGTGATTTTAAATAATAAAAAAAACTAAATCAAAGAGAAACGTATGGTTCTCATGGAATCAATCAAAATGTTTTAATTGCTCGATCGTTTATATTATTATTTATGCTTTATTATTTATTATACTTTATATTCACAGATCAACAGACGTTGTTTAAACTGACCTTGTTTATTACCTAGTAGATCGTTCTGATATCCAGTCGTGGAATCTCTTTCCCGACATGTTGTCTTAATGGATATTTAATGAGAAAGGTACGTAACAAAAATGGGAATAAACGCGATACAACGTACACATTGGAAACAATTATATGAGAACCCCTCATGTATATAAGCATTTATCGCACATTTTACTACGTTCGGTAAGTATACAACATACATGTAACCCACAATTATTACCAATTCACCTCCTGTTATAATTTTGTTTAATAACCATAGAAAAGCTACTATCGAAACACGAAACTTACGTATATTATCGATAATACAACGAACGATAAATATCTAATCACATACAAAATAAGCATAAAATACCATTCAGTACTATGATATATAAATGCTCGTTGACACTCACGTTGAACATTATAACATGATTATCCATTAAAAAAAATTGTCTTATGATACGTTATGTTTATTTGCGATGAAAAACTTAAGTAACGAGTGTTCTGCGCGTGGACAATAAATCTGCAACATCGTAATTTAACAACAGTGCAATTTCAACGATAAATTAATTTAATACCAGTGATATATTTATGTTTAATATCTCATCACTTAGAAAAAAACTATAAACTTAAACTAAATAGCTAACACAATAACAAGCTCTTATCATTTTAAGGGTATATTACTTATTGGTTTTTACGTTCCCCAAGAATTGCAAACTCGTGTTATAAATTAATTATTTCCTTGCGATATATTATCACTTATTCAAAATGTTATTAAATGTGTAAGCCCAAACAATATATATATATATATATGTATATATTTTTCCTTTAAATTGGTTACGTAAAAATATATTAAATATACGTGTGTGCATATTGGGGGACACATTAATACGTAAACGTAAATTATATATACATGTAATATAATAATAGCATTTAAACAGACGATAAATATTGCTATATAATTGAAGCAACGGTGAGTAAAGCGGGCATGAGTAAAATGATACCCTTAAATACACAAAAGCATAATTTTTAATAAGAGAAATTTCGAAATAGCGATTAGATTGTAAGAAAATAATTAAGTAAGTTTGATTAATTAGAGAGAGAGAGAGAGAGAAAAAAAAATAAGGAATAATTGTAAGTAATTATAAAAGAAATAAATGATAAACAGAATAGAATAGAAATTTATCTCGAAACTTCTCTCTATGAATAACGAAAATATTTGGGAGGAGACACAAGAGGAGTTTCGGAATACTATCTACGAGATGAGGGAGACGGTACTAGATCTGGTTTGGATTGACTTCGTGAAGGCATGCCATTAACGGAACCGGTGTCCAAACCACCAACTCTTAGCGACACCCTTGGAATGGTAAACGGGGAAGGGGATGTTGGAGTAGAGCGAGGTAAACGCGGAGATTTCTTCCAACTTTCAAAATTAAACAGAGAAGAACAATCTAAAAGGGGAGAAGAGAGACCACTAAGACTCGAGGGCAAATAGTCTCGGTAACGAACTTCCAACGCTTCCATTTCAGCCGTCAGCACAGCTTCTAACTTCTATAACAAGTATATTAAGCTTATTTCAGTATGAATGCTTCTTTTATAATTTAATAATTGATTCGTATCTCTCCCCGCGCCGGTCATCACGTGAGCCTCATAATATAGAAACCTATTGCTACAATATAATTGAGAAGAGAATGAATAAGAAGGGGAGAAAAAGAAAGAAAAAAAAACATACAAAAAAAAAAAAAAAAAAAAAAAAAAAAANGAAGAGAAAAGAAGAAGAAAGAATAAGAGAAAGAACGAAGGAAAAGAAAGTGCTTAAAAATATGGAAAATAAAAAAGTAAAAGAAGAAATGTAATATAGATTTACCTGCTTTCGAGGCTTGAGTTGCGCTTTCCATTCGCGAAGCTCTTTAGCATACGCCTCTTCTAATTCCTTTAGCTTCAGCGTTTCATGCTCCATCAACATTTTCCTCTTTTCATTCTGTAATTGTTCCAATTCTTTGATAGTGGCATCACTTTGCGCTCTTACCTCTTCCAATTGCCGCGAATGTTTTAATTCGAATCTTTGTTGCTCGGCTCTATACCGCTTTTTCTCATTCTCTTGGAATTTTTTTAATTTTTCTCTCTCGGCATCAGGATCTGGTGCGATAACAGAAGACATGGAAATCCTCATGGATTCCCTAAACATCATTTCGCGCGCCTTCATCTCGTTGCGAATTCTTTTAGGTAAATTTCTACGTTCCACCGTCTGCCGTTTAATCAATTCTTCTTCCTTCCGTTGATTCATTCTCTTCATCTGTTCCAATTCTTTTTCGTGGCGTATCAACATCTGATGTCTTTGCAAGAAGAAAATGTCCTTTAATTGTTTCTTTAATAATTGTTGCTTCTCGTGTATATGCCGTTCTTCTTGCTCCCAAATGGCTGCCTCCCGAGCTCTCATTAGCTGTTGCTTTTGTTGCAAAAATTGTCTTTCCATTAAAGCAATTTTCTCGCGATGACTATCGGACAATCTTCTCAACAATAATTCATGACTTTCGTTAAGCTTATCTAAGAAATGTTTCTCTCTTTCTTCGTGTTCAGCCTCTAATTTCTCTTTACGTATCTTAAACGCACTCTTCCTCTTATCTTTCGGCATCAAGTCCACCTCTTGCTTAAGTAGTTTTAACTCCTGTTTCAATCCTTCGCGAAATTGTTTCAATTCCCTCTCTTGTTCGCTACGTATTTTTTTCGAAGCAAGCCTAAGATCAGCCTCTTGTTGCGCTTCTGCCCGTTCGATTTGCTGCCTTTGTTGGCGAGCAAGTGTTTCCAAATCAGTTTCAGCATTTCTTTCCAGCAGTTGTCTCTCTTGCTCGAAACGCTTGTCTTGCTGATCTTTGTTGAACTGTGCCTTTTGCGACAAATCTTGAAACTGTTTCTGTTCCATTTTCTGTAGCATTTTTAATTCCCTTAACTCTTGCTTCCTAAAAATTTGATCATCGTAAACTTTTCCGTTTTCGTCATCCCCGTAAATTACCTTCGACGTCGTCGTGGTAACTACTACACCATCAATCTCAAATTTTCTCGTCCTTTTTCTCGTTTTTTTCTTCAAATTCATCATTTGAATATCCTCTTTTGTTTTCGTTGGTCGTTGTATCTCGCGATTATAATCGGACTTCCGTCGCAACACTACCTCCTCGTCTACTTCCCCAGATTGCCCTTGACTCAAATGATTCTCTTTACTAGATTCTCTACTGTCCTGGCTTATCGTGGTGGAAATGGATTCGGCATCGGAGCGATCTATGCTTTTACTCGGCGTGTGTGATCTTGTCGATCCGGATTCACTTTGGGATCTAGATCCTTCAAAACTATCCGGGGATACTCTCTTCTCTTTATATACTTTATTTATTTCTTTCTGTTTGAGCGTTTTTAAAACTTTCTCATCTATACGATCAACAATTGGAGATTTATCATTTTTTAACAGACCATTCACCTTTTTCGAATTTCTCTCCACATCATCGATATCTATTGATTCTATCGTTGTCCCAGCGACTATCATTTTAGTAATTTCATCGCCGCTGTCGCTTTTTGTACTCGATCTTTCGATTAAACTTGTATCACTGTGAGAAGAAGAAGTTCGTACGGCTTCGTGTTTATTAAGTATCGAGGAATCTTTCACTTGTTCCTTATCATCACCGACGGTAACAACGGAAACGTGACTAGTATCTTGCAATTCGTCTACGATTGGACTAACAATGAGAACCTCGGATTCATCTAACTTCTTACCGATTCTTTTAGAAACGTCGGTAAGAATTATAGGTTGCTCTTGGGGCATGTATTCTAAACTATCTAAACTTGGGAATCCATCATCATCGGTTGAACTTTCGTTCACTTGTGTTTTATTTAATTCATTCGCGACAATAATAACTTCCGATGTTGGAGGTTGACGACAAGAAAGAGTCGCTGCTAATGATGACATAGCATCGACAAGAACCGGAGGATGTGTCGTTACCACTGTTACTTGACTAACATTGCTCGCAAGACTATTCGATAAATCTGGACTATCTGCTGTAATCCGGACGGTTGATGTATTTGGACGTATTTCTTGATCGGATTTACCTTAAAAAATTAAATTAAATATTATAATATTAACACATTGTTATTGCACTTAATTTATTAACACAATTATTAATTTTAAAATAAGAATCAAATTAATATAAAATCATATTATTTATATTGAAACATTAAATTGATACATGCATAATATAAAACATAAATAAAGTAATTTTTTTATTTTACCAGTAATGACAACTACGTTATCTCCGCTACCTCTTCTCGAAGTATTTTTAATAGGAGTTGATGTAATTACTGATACATTCACCGAAGAACCTTTCTTCTCACAGTTTACGCTATCACCATTGTTCACCACATTCTCATAATTGTGTTCTTTACTTGGCCATTTCTTATCCCGTTTCCCGTCAAATTCATCGGGAAAATTTTCTAATGAAACATATCTGGAAGATCCTTCGCTATGACTTTTGATAACAGATTCTGTTTTAGACGTTCCATAATCCGTTTTGACATCTTCGATCGAACAAGCCTTAACGATATTTTTTTCGGATGTACTTGCTGTTAAAACTTCTCGATGAGATAATGCTTCCATAGAAGAAACACTCATTCGCATTTCAGTATCCATTGAAAATCGTTTCTCTAAAACTGCATTTAATTTTTGCTCTACAGATTTTCGTTTTTCTTGCAAACTCTTATAATTTTCTTCCGATGAAGATTGTCTTTTAACTTGTATATCAATCGGTGCTTTCTTCTCAATTCTGAAATGAAGGGTCTTCCGTATAAATAACTTATATTAAAGATTCTACAAAACAAATTATATTTTAAAAGAGGTTAAGTAGAAATAAATACCTGCTTTTTTCTTCCAACGATGATTGTTTATTGAATACTGGTTTCGTCCAGTCTTCGATTAATTCTAATTTAACCGGTGCTGACTTTCTCTTCTCCTCTAATGTTAATTGTGTCCTCGATGATAAATTCAGTTTATCATCTATCAATCTTTGTTTAATATCATTTTTGTTTGCATCATCTATCTTATTCTTTTCTCTTTCATTACTTTCTAATATAATTTTTTCTAAACTAGATAATACGTTTGTTTTTTCACAAAGCGTATCTACATTTGTCTGTTCCCTGCCTAACATTTCCTGATCTAATTGCGACGATTCATTTCTATCTTTTTGTTGCTTATCAATAACCTTGTATTCGTTTAATACTTCTTTATTACTTTGTTTATCGACAACTTTTATATTATTTTCCTTATCTTCAATTTTACTATTTTGACGTATAAGTGGTGGAGGAGGCGCAGGACCTTTTTCTCGAGATACTCTACGTTCGCTCGTTTCGTTTGTATTAGGAGGTTTAGGTGCCTAATTTAAAAATAAAATTAAAATATTATTATTAATTTTATATAATAAAAATATAAAAACATCAAAAATTAATTAAAAAGAAAAATATACTTGTTTTTTCTCAACAGAAACGGTTATATTATCTTTTGATTCCGCTTTACGTAATTTCTTGTTTCTATCCTCTCTTTCACCATCTCTGTTAATTTCTCGTTTATGACTTTCTTCTTTTTTTGCAGACACAGGTGATGCAACAAGATTTTCTTTTTCAGAAACTAAAAAAAAAAAAAAAAAAAAATAGAAAAAGAAAGTAATAACAAATATATATAATTAATTATAATTCTTATCAGTATCTAATTTATATATTATTGATCATATTTACTCTGAACATCAGCGTCACTGCGCATAGACGCAGAGTCATCTCCGAGTTGATCCAGCTCCAGAGGAAGCTGAGACGTGCGTTGCTCCTGAAATTTGTATTTTTCTTTTATTTATATATAATTATATAATTTACATGATATTTTATTATAATTTTTTTTATTATAATTTTTACATGATACAATTCATAATAAATGATATTCAAATTGATAAAAAATATAATATTTAAATATCATTATATATACAAAATTAAGAAACTATTAGAATAATATAAAAATAAAAAAATTATTATTTTATATTAATATGAAATAAAATAAAATGATTAACTAAAACTGAACTCAAATTATTAACTATTTTTATAAAAATCAGTATTATATATTTATAATGAACATTATTTTTTAATATTTAGAAGTTATATTATATGAATATAATATAAATATGAGTATATATAAATATAAGTATATATGAATATAATATAAATAGCTTATGCATTACAATTTAAAAAGAAAAAGATAGCAACAAATTAATATAAATATATATATTATAACAAAGTAATAATATATATAAAAAATACTTTATCAAAAAATCAAACTAGACAACATTTATTGCATAAGCTACTGACCTGACAAACGCAGGGATGATGGGGCTGGCGAGGCCCAGGAGAGCCGCATGCACAGCCAAATTATCCAAATTACAATACCATATTTATTAGGATATCATTAGATTAAATGTTCAAAGAAAAAAAAGAAATTCAGCAAAATATTTATAATTATGATCTCAAATAATAATATGTAAGAAACGATAAATGATAATTCAAATATTCATATATTTTAAATAAAAATAACATTACTATATTAATTTTACAAATAAATAAAAAAAAAAAAAAAAAAAAAAATTTACGAACACATATCACATGCATGAATTTTTTTAAAATTTTATGCATGTCCATCATGCGTAAATATAACAAAGAGTAATTGTATGTTTTATGAAAATGAGATGAAATTTATTCCAAAAATTTACATGACTACATACACAAAAATATTTAATTACAGATATTATAAATTCTTTGAATACAAATGAATATTTTTCATTTTTTGATCGTTTCAAAACATCTATTATATTTGTAGAATTCAATTTATACGATTTGCTCAAAAGCAGCTTACCAATCCGTTGATACTGTTCTCTGTGTTTTTTCGTTTTTTTGGCCTTCTATCAAAATGAAAGCGTGTAACAACGTTTATACATATTATCATCATAAAACTTAATATATTATTAGATAATTGTAAAAAATAATATATTGTAGAAATTAAAGAATTGCAAAATATTATTATACTAATATATTCCTTAAAGATTGCTTGAATATTTTATAAGATTAAAAAAAATTGTTTAAAAAAAAATTTTCATATTTGCATCGTTTTTTAATCATCAAAAGAAAAATAATAACAAAATAAATAAATAATAACAAAATAAATAAATAATAACAAAAAATTAGAAACTACCTCAGTTTCTTCGTCGACTAATTCCTCCTCAACAACATCAGCTTTATATTCCAATAATAAATCTCTGATTGGTTTTGAATCCAAATTACGATTTATGAATGGATGTTTCAATAATTCATCAGCTGTAGGTCTTGATGTTGGATCCTTAATAAGAGCTTTTGCAATAAAATCATTGAAATCTTTGCTCCATTTTCCAGGTTGATCAAGTCTGGGTGGATCACTCTTTTGTATTTTAAGAAGAACACGCATTGGAGACATTTCATGGTTTGGTGGTTCCATTTGCGCGAATTCTATTAAAGTAATACCAAGTGACCAAATGTCTACCTAAATATAATAAAAAGAAAAATACACACACACACATATATATATATATATGTACATGAAAAATATTAATTATAAAATGCTAATATAAATATATGCATACATAAATATAAAAAATTCATAATTTCAAAATGTATTACTTACTTTAAAATCATAAGGATTATCTCTAAATGTCTCACATAACACTACTTCTGGAGCCATCCAATATGGTGTCCCAATAAATGTGTCATGTTTCTGTAAAGTATGCTTATTTTTTGCAGATACTCCAAAGTCAGCTGTGAATTTTTTAAAAAATTTTCTTTACGCATAAAATATAATAATTATATTTAAATCTAAATGTTTAAATATTTATTATTAAATCTATGCTTAAATATAAAAATCACCTAATTTCACTCCTCCTGCCATTGTTAATAAAACATTTCCTGCTTTTAAATCCCTGTGAATAACTTTAGATTTATGTAAAAATGCAAGACCTTTTGCCATATGTTGACATATATAGGCTATTTGTGGTTCTGTCAAAGCTTTTGCTAATTCAACCATTATGGAATCAACAGCACCACCATCACAATATTCTATCAACATCTATAAGTTTATTAATCAAATTATTAATCAAATTATAATATAAATACTAAATTTATAAATATTATATAATAATAAAATATACCCATAATTTGCCTTCAATAAAATATGCTTCATGTAATTCAACAACATTGGGATGTTTACATTCTGATAAAATATCTATTTCAATCATAAAATCACTGAGATCATCTTCTCCCTCCAATGCACACATTTTTGCAGCAGCAAGTTGATGAGTTTGCCTATGTTGTGCCTAAGATAAATACTAATTTAATAAATTAAACAATTACAATTAAAAAAATTAAGTTATTAAATTGTGCAAATTATCACCTTATAAACTTTTCCAAATGCTCCATCTCCTAGCTCACCTATCATTTCCCAGAATTCTTCTGGATTACAATCCATTTTAATATTATTATATAATTTCTTTTTCTTAGCATCATTTCCACCAAAGTGGAATGCTTTCTTTAAATTCGATAAGAATGACATTTTTGTAATTCTTACTCAATATATTTATATGTAAAATATATACTTCTATTACATTATGTCATAAAACTCAATAATGTTTATTATTAACAACAAATATGTATTTTACACTGATTTTAAATATAAATTTAAGCAATTTTTAAATAATTCATTCTTATTTGAAATTATTATAAAATACATAAATCATCTTTCTTTTATATATATTTTTGCATATTTTTTATTATTTAAATATATTTTAACATTTCCTTTTAAAATAGAAAATGTTTTAAAAAATATACTTAATTTACATCCCCATTTTACAATAGGGAATTATATGAAATCTCTCCCACATCTTGATAATATATACTCAATATTCACTAATCAACAAAGTTGTTTAAATAAATAATAATGCAAATATAAAGAAATGCAACCCATTATTAATAATTTTTTATTCTTAGTTGCAATATATATATATAAAGCTGAAATAAATAAAAAATTAACAAGAATTAATATATTTATATATTTGCAATATTATTATTTCTTAGCTCAATTAAAAATTAAAAAAATTACAAATTTAAATTAAGATTATAATAATTTATATACATATATATAATTATAAATAATAATATAATATTAATAATAGTAATAATATTATATCAAGTAATATCAAATATTAATCATATAATAAAATGTATTAAGAATAGAGACAATAATATTTATGATAAAACTATTAGATGCTTATCAATAAGATAAGTATATAAATATAACTATATAAAAAAATATTAATAATTATAAAAAATATATATATAAAAAAAATATTTCTAAATGTAATTCTTTATGATTTCAATGATTTACATTAATTTCATAAGTTCATACTCTATAATTCATTAATGTAATGTATTATGTCATTCATAAATTATTAAATTAAATTAAGTTTATTCATCTACAAAAAAATCAAAATTACAAAGACTTTAATTTGTTTTCCTAATAAAAACAATATATAATTAATTCAATTATGGATATATAATTGTAAAAAGAACAAGACAAAGGAACTTTATAACAAAAAATTACAAGATCAGAAAGACATTTGAAGTGTCAAAATTCATGGTCACGAGGTTGACACAATTTTGACAAGTAATCTACAGCCGTATCTGTCCGCCATCGTTTTGTAAATACACTTTCCCCATCTTATGTGTTGAAAGCATATCAAAGATAAGACTTGTCAAAATAAAGTTAAATTAAAATTATGCAGATATTTGAAATAAGAATTATAATAAAGACATTATATCTATGTATTTTGAATACAATAATAAAATTTTTCATCATTTGTATTGTTTGTATTCTAATAAAGCCGATATATTTCTTTCATTTAACATTTAATGAATTATAAAAAGATCTTCTAATTTTAATTATATGAAATAGAAACATAAATATATTATTAAAATGATAGTAAAACAAAGAACTTTTTTATTTTTTTTTTCCCCCCTTTAAAAATATGATTTTTTAAAAGAATGTTGTAGACATCCTCTGCTCACCTTCTCTTTTAATGATCCATCGTTCATGAAATGGGCACACTTCGTTTCAATTTATATTATCGATAACTAGTTAAAATCTTTAAATTACATGTTCGCACTAATTACACATATCATCAAAAAATTCACTGTTTAAATCCAAATATTAAAAAGAATGTGCAAACTATCGTGTGTGGAATCAGTAAACTAGACAGACCCGCACGTACACGGCCATTTTCAGTAACACACGCACATCACACACTATAGTGTACCACGCCTGGAAGTGACGTAATCAATCGGCAAGTGGGCCTCTATTCTGCAAAAGATTTTCTAACTTATAAATGCATTTTAAATACATATTTCTATAAAAGAAGTTCAATAGTATTTTTCAAATTAATCTTAATAATAATAATTATTAATTATCATTTAAGAATCAGCTACAATTACATAATAATGATAAAATCTGCGATTTATTTATAACCAATAAAAGTTCGTGTTTATATATTTTAAAATATTAGTGTAAATTTTAACTTTTCTTTATATTAATATTTTTATGCTAGTCTTATATCTACTAAATGTTCTTGTACATATAAGAGTTAACACTTGTTATATTGAATTATAGAATTGATTTTACGACGTGTCATTGTAGTTAGGGAAACCTTCTAAATATATAATCTTATTAAGCATTGTGGAATAAACTTATGTTTACAAGAGTGAAGATCTTCATGAAATTAATATATTTTGAATTTAAGAAAAATACTTCATTCATAATATATCGATAATATATCAAATTTTTTCTGTAAATAATGTTTACTAAATATATTGATTTTAATTAAAGAATAATCATTTTCGTATTTGTAAAAATCATTAGAATATAAAAAATAAAATCATAATTAAATTTAAAATTTCATATATATATATATAAAAATAATTATAAATAAGAATTAAAATTTTTCTTTTATTCATTAATAATCAATTTCATTAATATTTCAGAGTAAAATGTAATTTTTGTGTTTCAATAGTATAATATATTAAAACATTAAAATATAATATAAAATAAAAAAATTTAATATTTATTATTAATAAGAAAAAATTTCTCTTTTAATAGTATTCGAAGAATAAATAACTCAAATATAACATACAAAATTCAAGACTACCAACATAATATACAAAAAACGACATTTTATGGTATGTAGTAATATTCATGTTAAACATGAAATAAGTTTGTTACCGTTTTATTATATGCGTATTAAAAAAAATTGTTATAATCTAATTTATTTAATTTAAATAATTATTTGTACTTATATTCGAATATATATTTTTTTTCTTTTTCTGTAAAAGGTAATTTACTTTCATTTAAATAGATATTGATAAAAAGTATAATAACAGAAATATAAATTCTGAATATTTCACTCTTTTCATCCAATTACTTTATAATAACTTTAATTTAATATTTTAGTGTTTCAAATTAAAATGTCTAAAAACGAACGAGGTATATTTCAGCAGATTTTTAAAAATTTTATTGCATCATTAAGAATAAACCAGCATAAATTAATTGGCGAAGATTATTATGGAACAAAATATTATGAAATACAAAAATCAAATTCTTCAAGAAGAAATCCACGATATTTTGTACCCGTAAATAGTGATGATCACGAGCAAGAATTACCTGTAGAATGGGAGGCATGGTTAAGATATCGTAGAAAAGTTCCACCATCAAAAGAAGAAATAGAAAAAAATTATAAATTAAAAATGATAAAAAAACAAAATTCTGCACAAATAGAAGCAAAATATTCAAGTAATAAATTGCAAGAATCAACATTATGTAATAAAGAATATACTTCATTTCCAATTTATGATGAATATAAAAATTATGGAAAAAATTATAATATAAAATATACAGAAAAAAAAACAAAATAATGATTAGATCAGGTATAATTAAATTATGCATCTTTTTAGAATGTTTAAAATTAATAAAATTTAGTAAATATGTACAAACTTTATTGTAACATATAATTGATTATGACATATAATTTGTGTATTATTTGTTTATAGCCTATGAATAAAACAATTTATTAATATCCTATATCTTTTTTGCATATCTTATACACTTACATATATAAGAAATTAATCATCTTTTTAAATGAAAATAACATTGACATTAAATTTAATTAAATTCCTTCATATAAATGATACAAATAATAATTCAGCTGTAAATTTTTTACCGAGCAAAATTATTCTCAATAGTTTTTTTTATTTTCAATTTATATTGTAATAAAATTTTTTAAAAATTAGTTCTACTAGATATTGATAATATTTCTGACTAATTGACTAATTTTAAATATAGAGAAGTATAGATAAGCAAAAATTAAAACCTAGACTTTTTTTAATCAGAAGATAGATTATAATTGTTTACATTGTATAAGAAGTATTTCCGATGTAGACAACATGGAATATCACTGAACAGTAAGTAAATTCTTTTGTTTAAATGAAACTGATGGAATTCAACACATGATGTGATAGTATTTTGTAATCAACCTGAAAAGTCACTATTATCAAATAAAGCTTGATCGTATAATTCTCCTTTCACTAATCGTCCACCAAAGTAACGACCATTCAAAGAATCTCTTGCGCGTTCTGCCTCTAAAATAAGTATTTGAAATAAATACTATAAAAAGAGCAATTAATAAAAAAAAAAATATTTTATAAACTTACCACTCATTTGAGAAAATTCAACAAAAATTTTTACGATAACTTCTGCATCTTCGTCGTCTTCAGATTGTCGCTCATTATAAATAATAACTCTTTCGACAACTCCAAATTTAGAACATTCATCTTGAATTTCTTCTTGTAAACTTTCATCCACATCTTCTGGAGCTACCATATTTCGTAAAATGACAACGCGAGATTCAACTTTGCGCATAAGTTTTTGCATAACAAGATGACGCGCACTTTGTCCTTTGATTGACATATTTTCTTGTTGCTGTAATGTTTGCGGTTCTGTTTCCTCTAACAATTTTTTTTGTAATTCTTCTTGTTGTTTCTGATGAGCTGCTTGCTCTTGTGCTCGTCTCATAATATCAGAATTTGTTGTAGTTGTAACTGGTATCTAATAATATTATGAATAATTTAAATATTTTAAATATTTCTTGTTTTTTGAAGAATGTTTCTTGAAGAATATTTCTTAAAGAATAAATGATAAAAAAAAGACTTACAACTGGTGTTCCTACTATTGTAGGTGCTACAACAGCTGGAGGTGGTATCACAACTGGTTGTCCAGGTATTGGTTGAATTATTGCAGGAGGTCGAGTTAATGTTTGCGGTATAGCTATACCAGGAGGAGGTATAACAGGTGCTACTGTTGCTATAGTTGGCGGTGCCATCATTGTTGCAGGAGCAATAGTGGGTCTTACTATCCCAGGTAAAGCTAATGTATATATAAAATTTATATATTCATTTCTATATCTTATAAAAAATTTAAAAATATAAAATTTTCTCAATTATTTTTAATTTATACCTTGATTTAAAATCGGTGGTGCAGCTGCTCCAAGCTTAGTCAAACCAAGAGCAACTGCATTACTGGCTACCGCATCCATCGCTTGAATTTTTGCAGTTGCAGCTGCAGCTGCAACTGCTGCAGCAGTAGGCATCATGCTAGTTCCACTTGGCGGACCCATAAGAGCATTTGGTGGCGTAATAGCCCTGCCTACTCGTAAGTACTGCCCACCCAAGTCAAATAAATTCATTGATGCAATAGCTTCCAAAGCAGCCTGCATTGTTTCATATTCGATAAAACCATAACCTTTATGTCGATGTGGTGAGCTTCCTTGTGCCAATTTACAATATGTAATCGGTCCAAACGCTTCAAACACAGATTTAATATCATCCTCTGTTAAATCTTGATGAATTGATGCAATATAAATTCGATTATAATGTTTACTTTCTTCAGTAATTTCATCTATAACGGATTGAGCTTGAGGCATATTCGACGGACGTCCCACAACCTGAAGGAAAATGAAGATTTATGATTAATATTTTCAACCATAAAAAAAAATATTTGTAACGAATCTGTCATATATATTAACATTTTAATTATAAAAAAAACACATATATATATATATACACACATATATATATATATATGAAAACAGGATTAGGTCTAGGAATTATATTCTTTACTTGAATTCATAACTTTAATGTGTTAAAAATATCTTACTAATTCAAAAATATTAATTTTTATATGAATAGATCTATCCTATCAAAATAAATATTTTATTGGAGTAATGGTAGAATTTATTATTATACTTGTTAAAATATCAAAAAAATATCATAAGAAACTTAAAAATCTATAATAATAATTTGTTGAAACCATTAAAATTTTAGCAAGATTTTTTTTTTGATCGAAGTGCATTTTATAAATGTAATGCAATTCAATCAAAAGGAATTTCATATTGGATAAAGCTAAATAAAAATTTGCCGACCTCCGGCGGGATGATAGGATTGCTGGGGGACAGGAAATTCGTTATATAGGTACGTCCCGCTACCTTGATGTTACGTCCACCAATCATGACACCATTCATTTGTTCCAAAGCAAGTTGTGCTGCTTCAGGTATCTCGTATTCGACGAATGCAAATCCTTTGTGCTTCTGCGTAACTGGATCCCAAGACATGTTGATTGATTTTATAGGACCAAAAGGCAAAAAAGCTTGCCTAATCGTATCCTCTTTTAATTCAAAACTGATGCTGCCCACATATACCCTGTCATATAGGAATTTTATTTCAGGTGACAATCACTTTTTATTATATTAAATCAAATTTTTCTGTTTAATTATATCTATTTTCATAAAATATTTATAATTCTATCCTATTATAATTAAATAAGAAAAAGAAAAAGAAGTAAAACAAATTTTTAACATTTTTTTTTCGAAAAAGATATATAAGAAAAAGAAAAATTGCTGTTATATTTTTATATATTTTTTTTTATTTAAATACATATGAAATAAAGCAGAAGAAATGTTAAAAATATATAAAATATGTTAAATGTAAGTGATAATAACATGATTTTATTAAATAGAAAATTATTAAAAAATTTAAATTTTTAATTTTTCAATTCAATTCTCTTCCAACTAAAATATTAGCCAATATTTATAATATTATAAAATTATTTAAATTCAATTTTTAACAGTAGAGAAAAAATATATGATTATTCTAAGTACATAATTAAAATTCATTAAAACCCAAATCCAAATGATGAATGAAAATTTTTAGCCTGTACAGAATGAAGGTTGAAAAGTATTTTTTACTTAAAACGACGAATATCGAGGACAAAATTTGGAGGGCTAAGACAAAGAACAAACAAACCTGCACATGAGGGCGAGAGCCTGCTGTCTCTGCACCTGATTCCGTTGACTAGCCATTTGCTGTAACACAAAGGACCATAGGCCTTCTATTGATATCCCTCCCCCTTACACACATACACCATGTCTCGTTCATTTCAAAAATCCCCCAAGCTCTTTTACCATTCCATCTTCGTTGCTCAACTACTCTTATCTTAATATTACAAAGATATAAAAATTTATTTAAAATAATTTTTTGTAATTTCTCAATGAATTACATAAATTTCTTCTAAATAAATTATATATGAATTTTAATTTAATTGATAATATTATATATATATTTAATGTTCATACTGTTTGAAATAATATTTCAAAGTACTTGATAATTAAAAATAAGCAAATTATATTTTTATTTCGATTAAATATTAAAAACATGTTATTAAAGATGTTAATTTTTTTTTTAACTAAAATTTTAATATTACATTTAAAAATCCAAAAGAAGTATTTCATTGAAAAATGATTATATTTTCATAATAAATATGAAGTAATATTCTAAATATAATATCTTCAAATAAACTAAAATTAGAAAATAATTTAAATTTAATTTAAAATTTTAACATAGATATAGTACATTATAACTATTATTGAAGAACTCATCTAATCATAATAAAAAAAACAAGATAGAATAATTGAGCTCGGAAGTATATATTAATTATTTTTCTCAAAACGTCCAGAGATTCATGCGCAAAAACTTGTCCTCCTTCGCGCTGGTACAGCTCTGCTCCCGCCGACTACTATCTCAAGATATCTAACCTTCGCTTACAGTAGTAACTCAGGGAAACGTTTAGGAGTGTTTGATCGTAAGGCGGTTTCGTATCGTTTCTGTCTTGACTTGGTTGACACTAACCTGCACATTAGCAATAAAACTTGCTGCCGCAGGACCAACTTATTCTTCTGCGGGGAGAAAAAATCAACCGATCAGAGTTAGGTTCCAGTGTTCGTTTTTAATTTCTGTTATATGTTTTGACTTTACTCGCTCGTCATAACGAACACAGGTTAACATATGTAAAATAAAAATAAATATTACTCGGCGGGGCGAGCTAAATTGTAAGGACAAATATCAGTTTAAAATACTATAAGCACATTTTTTTTTAATTTTTGTTACATTACTGGCAAAGAGCTAAATAGAGGAAGAAATGTAAATTTTTCTTTAAATAATATTTTTTGAGACAAAAAGAATCCTATAATTTTTACATCATTTAATATCATTTAATTAAATGTATATATTAACTCCATTGTATATTCATATGAACAATCAACATTTTATGAATTTATAATATTAATGAAGTAAAGAAATAAATTAAATGAAAATTAATTAATGATTCTTAAATATATATTCTATACTTTATTTTTCTCTCTTTCTTTTTTTATAAAAGGAGAGAAAGATATAAATATGGATAAAATATGTATATTCATATATATATATATATATATATATATATATACATATATATTGTATCCACAATTCTTATTTACAAATAATGCAAAAAAAATTTAACAAAATATTTATCTATTATATAAATGTTGATTGTTTTATTAGTTCTATTTATATTAATAAAAAATATAATATAATGCTTCTATAATGCATTCTTATTTAAATATATTATAATAGTAGCAAAAAAAAAAAAAAAAAAAAATTAAATAAATAAAATAAAAAAAAACAGATATTTACATGATAAATGATGACAATATAGAAATCTATGAATATACAATGGAATAAAAAATATATGTTAGGCGAGTAAAGTTTGTTAGCATCATGTTAAAAAGTTACCTGTTGTTGATGAGCGAGTGTCTGCTTCATTAAAACCATTTTGATGCTTTGTTCCATTGCATATTTTTTTGCTCTATTTACTGTATCCTGTTGTTCAGATGTAATTTTTGGAAGACCTGCACCTAGAATGCCAGGCAATGTAAGATATTTAGCTCCAGGTCCTGTAACAAAATAAATGTTAATTGTAAAACAAAACATATTTTATCAATATATATTCTATTGAATAATAATTTTTCAGATCTTATCAGCTATTTGTCCATTAAATTATTATTCACTCTCAACATAACTATAATTGGAGCAACAAAATTTAATTGTCACAGTATATTTTATCTACATCATATAAATATTACATTATTTCAATTATAACGATTTGCAATTTGTATATTATATTATAATTTTACATACCAGCAACAACTTGTTTAATTTGATTAAGATCATATATAGGGCCTGGCAAGAACTCTGATGCATTTCCTACGAAAAAAATTAGCATTAGATAAAAATAAAATATGAAATCTATATTTAGTACTTCCACCATCACACACACATAAGAATTTTTTGAAGAATATCTCAACATTTGTTTTTTATTTTTTTTTTCTTCCATACTTTTTCCATTTTTTTAAAATTTATTTTGCGATGATAGAGGTACTATAACTGTTAATAATTTTATAAAATGTACAAATTCAATTTCTAATATCTTTCTTTTCTAGTATTATTTTTTAAGATTAAGCATAATTTGAAATATTCATATATATAATATTTAATTTAAGAATATTTAATATTTGGTGTATAAGTATACTGTAAAATTTTAATAAACACAAGTTTTATATATTTTTATAGTTTTTAATATGGGCAAAGAGTGAAAGAAATGACTTAAAAAGAGACGCAAAAAGTAACGATGTCGTACAGCAATTCCCACTGCAGTAGAATCGTCCTCCAAACTGTAAGTTCAAAGAAATTAAAACAATTAAGAACAATAACGTTACTTATATAAAGTAATGTATGTTCAAAATTACATAAATGTACATATTCATTCATATATAAATATATTTTGAAAGAAATGCATTCCTTTCTTTTCTTTTACGCCATCAAAATAAAATTATTTTACATCTTAGAAGAGAAATAACGTCAAAATTATGCTAAATATATCAAAATTTAAGAGAAATTATTGCAACTGTTCGGTTAACTTCATTTAAATTTTATTACAATTTACACTATCAGCCCCAAAAAAAGACTACCAATAACTAGATTAGGTTTCGTATGATCATAACCAATTTGGTCTGCTAGTCTCTGAAACAGAAATCAGAACACGTTGAAACGTTTCTTTCTCTCTTTTATGATTTTTGCTGTTTCTCGAATTAATACTATTAGCTTTGTTCGATTGTTTGATTAACAGCTAACCGTGTTCTGGGCTGAGCAATGATGGTTGTGCGCAAACTATCCGAGATTGAGGCGACGCACAAATCTGTAAGCACAAAGCAAAGGAGAATACTCTCAGTGCATTTTCTGCGCCATTTTCTTACAGTTTGCCTTTTCCAACCTACCACGCAATTAACCCTAACACATTCTGTATAGCAATGGCGATCCTAATTAACAAAAAATCTAACGTGATCGAGCTTTTGTAAAGTGAATTTTTCTTGTGTTGTGTACCCTGTGTCCAATAACTTTTTTATTTGTTTACATATGTCTTTTTTAATAAAAGAACAAATTACCTCATACTTATGTAATTCAAATATAAACGTTATAAACTTTGATATTTTAAAAAACACGTCGCCATTGCATCTCCTATTTATAAGCTTCTTTTTTTTGTTTCATATTTAGAAATAAAATTAAAATATCATAAATATTATTTATGTTACAAAAAAAGTATTTCAATAACAAAAAAGATCTATATAACAATATAAATATAATAATAATATAATAAACAACTATTTTCATCTTAATAAAATAAATTGTAGAAGCTTATAATTAGGATAAAAGAAGATTATCCTAAAATGCTGACCTATCTAAAATACGCATCATATTTGGTACTCGACAATAGATGCTGTGTCAGTAGGAGTTTGCAAAACTCTGATTTGTTCTGTTCAACGAATGTAGCGTTCTCTTTCTTTGTTTGGCACACGCTCATGATCACAGCTCAGTCGTAGGCCACAGATTCTGTACTGTCTCTCCGCTGTAACATCTCAGAACAGAAGGACAACCATACATTAGTTTTATTGAGGGCCAACGATCACCTATCACCCTAGCCTACCAAAATATATTCTGAAACTGCAATAGACCACTCAACACTTATAGCTTGCCAGCAGTTTAATAGAAAGCTAGCACCTGATTGTCCTAAGTAAATAATATATGCTTTTCTTCATCATTTCCTTTGCTTAGAAATATATTATGCTTGCTGTTGCTTCTGTGTTCACCGTCTTTTCCAGTTGTACGCTTAATTGTATAATTTATTAGTATAGATTAGAGACATACATCTATTTGGAAATATTAGCAATATACCTTCAACTCTAGGTTTCTTGCTAGGAGGTTCCACATTATTCTGGGATGTTGGTGCCTATAAATATATGAAATATTTATAAAATATATATAAAAATATATATATATAAAACTTTATATTTATAAAGTATATAAGATAAAAGAAACTAATAAAAAATAAAATTTTGCAATATTTAAATCATTAAACTATATCATATATTACTTTAATATAATACTACAATACAAATTTAATTTTTTATATATTACATAATTGATGTATTACAATAAAAAAAATAATTATATAAAAAAAAATTTAAGAAAAAAAGTAATATTTAAAAAAATATTTATTTACATTAAAATGATATAATATAAAAATAAAAATTGAAAGAATAACTTTATTTATTTAATCGATATTAGAATTATCAATAATAATATATTTGTAAAATATTGCAGAAATATATTAATATTATATATTTTATTGAATATTCCAAGATTGTTAATCATAAGTACGTTACACACAAGCATTCTACAACCGCCATCATGATAAAAAATTTGCTGTTTCTAATAATTCAGTATTTCTTATAAATAATAATAATAATTAACTTACCATGGCCATTGCTCCGTTCATTATCCCTCGTAACTCAATATATTGTGATTAATACTTTTTTTACATGTACTTCACTAACTAAATCTCAACCGATTTGGAACAAGTAACTTACATACAAAATGATCCGAAGCTTGCCTTTACGGAAGTGTTATAAGTACTATGTAAGTCAATAATAATCTTATGTAAAGTGGAATAATAATTGTTTATATAGTAACAAAGATATCGTAATTTTAATTTTAAATAAAAATATAATTATATCAAATTACTTTATTACAAAATATTCTTTATTATTAATATTAATTTTTTATACAGACTTTTCATATTAATTAGTATTTGATTACAGTAGTGATTGTGACAATTACAGACGCACGTTTAAAGGTTAGAAATTTATGTGATTTTTTCGTTAGAAAATTACAATGAGCTCCAATGACTTTCAGGTCAGATTAATTAATAATGAAAAGGTATAATAGAATTATATAAATATATTATATTATATATATAAAATAATTATATTATTTTATTTAAAAATCTATATTAAATGCATTTATAAATATGTAATTATGAATTTGATACATGAAAACATTTTTTTTATATTTATTCATATAAAAGTTTAAGTATTAATTATTATCAAAAGAAAAATAGATATCAATTTATTGTAGGGTAAAGGTCTTTTTGCTGTTCGTTCATTTAAAGATGGAGATACAATATTGGAAGAAAAACCTATAATTTGTTGTCAATTTGCATGGAATTTAGACTATGGATATTTAGCTTGTGACAATTGTTTAACACCTTTAGAAACTGCAGAAGAAAATGTACATAGATTGACTGGAAATTCAACAATTATTTTACCTCATGCTGAATGTTGTGAAACAAAAAAAGAATTAATCACAGAATGTTCTGAATGTGGTACAAAATATTGTAGTATTGAATGTCAAAATGATGCTTATTTAAGGTAATTATTGCAATTCTATAAACATAATGCTAATATTAACATTATAAAATATTAAAATTTTAGATATCATAGCATAATATGTTTACAATCAAGAGAAAAAGACGAGTCTCATCCTTTAGTTCAATTAAATGAAACATGGAAGCAAATGCATTATCCACCAGAGACAGCATCAATAATGTTGTTAGTTAAAATGGTAGCACTAGTTAATCAAGCCAATAATAAAGAGGATATTCTTTCAATTTTTTCACAATTTTGTCATCGTACAGTTAATGATACACATGAAATTGCACATAAACTATTGGGAGAAAAATTTGTTGGTCAGATTGATGTACTTAGGCAAATGATGCAGAAAGCTATAAATACAGAATTTATAGAACATGTATGTAATACAAATATAATTGAAAATGTATTATAGAATAAATTTTTAAAAAATTTCTACTTATAGTGGTTTACACCAGAAGGTTTTAAAAGTCTATTAGCTCTAGTAGGTACAAATGGTCAAGGAATTGGAACTAGTGCATTTAGTCGTTGGGTTAAAAACGTATCTGCTTTGGAATTACCAAGAGAAGAAAGAATTCAAGTTGATAAATTAATAGATCGAATTTATGATGATATGGAAGAAGGTAAATTCCCTATAATTTTAATAAAATTTAAAATATAAATTATAATATAATTTTTACATTAATCTTATTTCTTTCAGCGGTAGCTTCTTTTTTAAACAATGAAGGTTCTGGACTTTATATCCTTCAATCATCAGTTAATCATAGTTGTGTACCAAATGCAATTGTAGAATTTCCATATTCAAATAATGTATTAGTTTTAAAAGCTATACGTGATATACATCCTGAAGAGGAAATATGTATAAGTTATCTTGATGAATGTTGTCTAGAAAGAAGTAGACATTCTCGACAAAAAGCATTAAATTCTTTGTATTTATTTCAGTGCTATTGTAATAAATGTTTATCACAGGCTAATGATCTAGACTTAACATCAGAAGATGAAATAGATGATAATGATGATATGTCTAGCTGAAAATTTGAATTTTTATAGTATATATGCATATAAATAAATTTTTTAATATTCCTATATGTCATAATAACATTCAGTTTACCTATATTTATATTATATATGATGTAATTTTATTATTAATTTGCAATATATTTTTAGTCAAGTATAAATATTAAACATATTATTTAATTATATATTATTATTTTATTTTAGTTGCAAATATAATTTAATGTGTGGCTTCATTTTCTAAAGATATTTATTAAAAATAGAGTAATCAATGTATTGTTCCAAAAAACAAATTTTTTGTTACAAATAACTTAAATTTAGCAAAATAACAGATAGTCTCATATATATATATATATATTATATAATATTCTATATATATAATATATAATATTCTTATATATATATATAAGAATATATTTATTTATTTAATATTTAATTTTGACAATGCTACAATATAATATACATATTTATGTGTAAAGGCTTTTTATTTATAAGTCATTATATTGTAATAAAGTATCAAATAAATTGTACATAAGAAAATTCTATTATAATATTGTACAATTTATTATTATACATATATATATATATATAAATATAACTAGAGTAATTAATTTATACAATTTTTAAATAGATTTTTATCATACTTAAAAGATATGTCAGTTCAATAAAATTAAAAGATTATAAATTAGAAATAATATACATATTCTTTATCTTTTTTTTTTTTTGATATAAAATGATTTTAAAAAAAGAATAATATACTCTGTTTACTATTAATTCAATAAAAATTATGTTAAATTGTACATAACAATTATTTCAAAATTGATTAATTGCACACACTAAATTATAAATATTGTAAGAAAATGTAATATCAATTTGTCTTTTAAAATTTAAATAATTATATAATCATTAAATTAGATAATTTTTGCATTAACATTATGCTAGTATTATATGACATTTGACCCTAAATTGTCAATCATTTTTAAGGATTAATTCATTTTTTCCTAATGTCAATAAATTTGATATATAATAAGGTACAGGTGTAATAAGTATACGTCGTTCTATTAATTTTGTTAAACATGCAACAATGTTATGACTACGAAATTCCCATCTGAAATATATTTAAATGCATATAAAATCACAATTATATTGGAATTATAGAATACTGCATCATATTATAATTCTAATTGTAATATTATATGTTATGTTATATGTTATATATTCAATTTAAATAGAACTCACGTTGCACCTATATTTTCATTTGGTAATTTTGCCAATATATCTTTATGTGATAAAGGTATACTATGTCCATTTACAACAAGAACTTCTAAAATAGGAGGATTATCACCAAAACACGCTTCGGCATATTTTTTTCGTTGTTTTTGTTGAGTAAAATCTATACCTGTCTCCCTAAAATGTATAAAATATATGAAATAAGAAATATTTTTTTAAAAATTTTTATTATCTATCTAAAAATAATTTAAAGAAACTTACTTTTTATCAGGAGAACCATCTTTAAATATTAATATTTTATTAATATTTTCAGAATTCATTGTTCCTTCTTTTTTTTTCCAACATAATTCACTTAATGATTTAAGATCTCTACCCATTAATTTAAATCTTCTAGAATCTGTATAACCCAAACTTTTTACTATTGCTTCTAAAATCTCAGACGAAATTTGTTTTTTGGTAGAAAAAAAATATTTTTGACCCACAAATAAAGCAAAAAAAATTGGAATTGTATATTGAATTTTTCCTTTCTTGGTTTTACTTTCAGTTAAGGAAACATATATAATGCCATTGTGTGCATTTATTTTTACATTAATTTTCATACCTAATGAATCAAAATGATCTTGCATAATATTTTGAATTTCTCTATTTATGATATAATTTGTAACTTTTGTAGGTCCTATTAATGTGTAACCATACCAAACTTTTTTATTACTATGCCAACTTATATCTGAAAAATATAAATTTTATTATTTACTATGAAATAAAGTATATATATAAATAAATTTTATATATATATGTACACACTCATATATGTATATTACCAATTAATTGTAATATTGATAATCGATCTCTTAAAATTTTCTTCTGAAGTTTAGCTTCCTAATATAAATAAAATAAAAAAAATAATATATAACAATATATAATAATAAATAACACTGGTAAAACTATGACATTTACATATAAAACTTACAGTAATAACTATTTTAACAATTTGTGCTACATTAACTGATGTAAAATTTTTATGATTTTTAACCAATTTTGATCTTACATCAGTCCATGATAATTCTGGAAAAATTGGTATTACAGATGATTCTAAATCTTCAAATTTAAATCTTTTAATAACATTAACTATCATTTGTTGAACAGATGGATATCTTGCTAAAAAGTTAAATAATATAAAAATAATCTTAATCCATTAATATTTCAATATAACCCTTTTTAATTTATAAATAATAATTTATGATTTAATTAATCAAATAATACTAACCCGGCATTATATAAAATAAAAATAAAATAAATTGAATAATAAAATATCTTTAAATAACATTAAAATAGTAAGATTTATAAAATTTTTTCAAAACTTATCAAAATTTTTGACAATAAACATCATATATAAAATGGCAAATTATTATTTCCCGCCAAGACAAAAATAATATCATAGATTAGCTATAGAATAGATTTATCATCCAATATATTTTTGTGTCATTTGATTCAAAAGATAGTTTTCGAATTATATGCGAAATTATTAATTCAGAATAGAATGAGAGATATTAAAACGAAAAAAATGATAATTAAATATAATCAATTTATAATATATTGTTTATGGTATCTATGGATATTAGAAAAACTAAAGATAAATCTAGACATGCATTTTTATGATATATAATTTGGAAACTTACATGTTCTCTTTTTAAATTTCTTTTAATATTATTAATTCAATGAACAGTTGATTTTATTTTACAGATAAAACGACAAAAATTTTATAAATACAATAATATTATTTATATTTTTTATTTTTAAATCAGTAATTCAATTAATATAATATTCATTAAATTTCATGAGATGTTAAATCTACGCTACAATTAGTCTATGATAACGCGCAAGCGTAATACGA